TTTTTTTTTTATGGGGGGAAATCCTCATGGACTGCCTCCGCCTGGGGAAAGGCGGAGGGGTGTGCCGGACTCTTACCGGCTAAAACCACCCCAGTGCCTCCTCGCACGTGCGTGCGGGGCCGCGGGAGTCCAAATTCATCCGCAGCCCCGCATTACAGTGCCGGCCCGTAGATCAGGGCCCCGTCACCTGCACGGAGCAGTGCACCACGTGCATCGCCTCAAAGGCGTACGCCGACACCCGCGCGCGCCTTCGACTCGGGTCTATCGATTCGGGGGCGGGGACTTCCCCAAGTCCTTCGCCCCTGGACCCATTCATGGGGGCCGGAAGAGGGCGTTGTCGGCCCTTCTCCTACGCCCGGTGCGCCTTCTGCGGTTGGGAAAGGAAGTCAGTAAGATCTCCCTCTCCCGTTCCGCAGTTTCCTTCTGCGACATCACATCCTCGCAGAAAGACACCACCGCGTCCCACGACTCTGCGCTGTCCACCATCTTCCGCACTACGGCCGGCAGCGACAGATCGCTTCCTACTACAATACTAACCTAATCTAACCTAAAACGTCTGTTGTCGGTAACTTAGTAATTTTGTCGGAGGTTCAATATTCAATTCGGAAGTTTACTTTTGTTATTCGAAGATCCATTTTTATAGTCGGCCACAGATCGCTGGAGATTAATTTGTTTTTCGGAACTATTATTATTATTTTCCAGAATAAAGGTTTAAGTATTGGGGGTAAATTAAGTAAAATGGACAAAGAAAATAAATAAAATCGCCATAATTTTAATAGATAAGTTTTAATGATCATTTTTTCTGTAGCATTTTTAAAAATAATGTTTACAGTATGTAATCACAAAAACACAAATGTTTTTAATTAAAAAATAATGAAACTCCTAAACGTTAATTAATAGTTTCCTTTTACAGCTAATAAATTTAAATTTCTAAGTGAAAAATATAACAAAAACGCATCTGCAATACTGTATTTTTTCGTTCAAACTATAATATCGGAGGTACGACGCTACCCACAATATTATGAGTCACAAGAACAATAACAACATGCTGGAATATATAAAAAATTCGAACCTTACTTTTAAGAAATGGCAGATTTTTTTTCTTCCAAAACGAAATAATACGTAGGTTTCAAAAACTCTCAGAATAATTATTATAAGTTAGTCGTAATATTGGATGTGATAATTTTAGTGTCTTTAGCGGAGGTGGCGGTCGTACGTGAGCCGACTGCGCCACGCGACGGACGCGTCTCGATACACTATTAGCCGTCACACACTAAACACGAGCTTACGACTAATTTAAGTTGAACTATAGGCTCCATAAAACCACCCATCGAGTGCACATAATTACCCCATTACAATTTTCACTATACAACCCAAAATAGGTCGAAACTCACTAAATTCACTAAAATTTAAACACCCCCCATTCCACTATTTACAAATTCGGAATGAATTTTGATTCTAAACGTCGAGAATTTAGTGTTTATTTCTTTTTTTTTACTTTTTCACACTTTATTCTTGTAATTGTAATTAGTAACAAATGAACCATTATTTTCTTCGTTTACTATTACGGCTTTATATACACAAGCGGTAGAATACTGTACGGAAAATGAATCATCGGCTTAGAGCCGGCCCGGTACGCCAGCGAGCAGGCTCTGTGCTCGACTGGACTGAGTAAGACGTATAACGCTACATTATATATCGGTACTATAGTGACTAGATTGTCCCCTAAACAAAAATTGGGGATCAAAAATTTATTTACATCTTTTACACTATGGATATCAAATTCACACTAGCTTAACACATTGCTACTATTAAATGTTTATATATTTATTCATTAAATACAGCGATATTAACGCCCTTTGGAAACATAATGTAAAGCGCAGGTGAGTAGAGGGCGCCACATAAACTATTGGCACCGAAATATTATGATAAACAAAATCTCAAAAATAATTCAAATCACCAAGTTAAAGCTCCCATCGTGTTTATGAATAGTTCACTTTGTGCTGTGTCACATGGAAGTAGCTTACAACTAAAACTATGCGCAAATATACTACACTATATAAATAAATATACATACATATTGGCTCGAATGAAACGTGACAACGCGCTAATGAAACGAATCATTACCTCAACATCAGTCTAGCATCGTTATGAAGGGCTATTATAAATGTTATAAATTAATACAACTACACCGCTAAAAGACGATTAAATTCATATTTGAGTATGGCCTGTAATCACTAACGGAAACACTTACGTCTATCAGAGGTAACCTAGAAATACATTTTTATACAATTACATATATCGATACAAAATATGTTTATGGATAATATGTTACAAGAAATAAAAAACAACGCTACAAGAAATCCACGTTCGAACTACAAATAAAAACGAATTTGAACTTATCGGTGACATACTTAGAAAATAACACGTAAAGGAACTTACGAAAAATTATTCGATCAACTTTAACAAAAAAAAATATAATCGCGCGTATCCAAACTGCTGTGAACTTAGCTACCGGTTATTTTTTTACTTATAAAATTATATACAAAACAATTTCAACAACTTTTTTTTATAATACACCTAAAAAAGTGAAACCTCGTCAGTAAAGAGATCGCGTTTCAGTCTGGCGTGGCAGACGGAGTATATAATAATAATGCCACAGCCTTAATGTAGAAATCGGTAATCACAATGTGTCGCATGTCAGTTGGTTGTAGTAAAGTCAATGTTGGGTTTCCTCTGCCGGGGTTTCTTGGGACGAGGCGGGGCCGGCTCGCCGTTGCAGCAGTGGCAGCCGCGCTTCACGACGCCGCGGCCGGACGCGCGCCGCCTGCCCTCCGCGCTGTCGTGCCTGTCGTGTCTATCATGTCTCTCATGCCGGTCATGTCTCTCGTGTCGCTCGTGTCGCTCCGCGTGCATATCAGGCGAGCGCTCGCCCGCCCGAGTCTTCCCGGACAGGCTCCGCGCTGCGCCAGCGTCTAGCGCGTGATGGTACATGCGCTTCGGAGGATACGTACGAAGTGGCGGGGCGTGAGTGTCGTCCGCAGACGACCCATCTGCACTACAACGCCTCTCAACGCCCCGCGCCTCTTTTATAACAGAGTCTAATCTCATATGAGCACCAATCCCGCTGGAATCTGTAGAATTATTCTCTTCGAAGGATGGGCTCTTGCAACATTTGTCGCTGTCGCTACTAAAATCAAGTGCGCGTCTTGTCTCACGTTCTGAAGCGGAGTTCGACTCCCAGAATAGTTCTGTTCGCTCCGGGGAAGACTCTTCATCTTCGACATCTCCAAAATCTCTCGAGTCGTCGGTCATCATTTTGGTGTGGTGATTGTGCATGAGACCTTCGTGTTCGTCAATAAGGAACCTTGAGGTTTGTTCCCTCTTGTTGCCGTAGCAGACTCGCCTGATGACCTGTGTGGTGTTGTTACCTGTGGCGTGGACGATGGCGGACGCTGTGTTAGAGAGGTGCAGTTCTCTATTGTCATTAAGAATGCTGTCGAATCTAGTGAGTCCGTCGTCCTTGACGAGTACTGAGGATAAGTTGATGCTGTTCTGTGTGTGTGGTCCGGGTAAGGAGTTGATCATGTTGTCTATATCGGAGTACTTGACAGTGTTGTGTGGTCCGCCACTCTCGGCGGTGGCCTGTGAGATGACGGTGGTCTGCGGCGCCGTCATCAGTACGGTGCCGGGGGCGCGGTTAGCGTGGAATATCGTCGATGTTATGTGACGACCTTTCAGACCGCTTATTGTGAATGGCTGCACCTGGAAACAATTACACAAATACTTAATCAATACAGTTTATTGTATAGATGGTAAACAACTTCCATGCTATACTACAAAATATCGAATAAAAGTTTGTGAAAAAATAAGTTACAAGACTAGGCGAGACATGTTTAATTGCAAATTATTGTCAACTCTAAATCGGTACACACGACACATTTTCGATTACATTAAATTATAAAACATTTTATACTCTTGTTCTAGTACAGCAATATTTACATACCTCTCCCTCATCAGTGGGTTCACTATGGAAGGTGGTATTAGGATGAGACCGGGCAAACTCCTCCTGGTCCAGTGCTATAGTGGCCTGCATCCCATCCTCACTCACAGTGACTATGCCCACGTCTTCTAGACCTAGACCTAGGTCATTCTGATCGTCATGCATGTTCGTCCTAGGTAATAACTGGTCGGTAGCAATCTGGTCATCTAAATCCGGTTGTGATATGGTATGATGCATCATTGGTTGTGCTGGAATAAATGTTGAAGGGATTAAATTTCTTGTATGCCAGTATACGAGACACATCGTGTCTCGCATAGATCTGCGTTCACACACCACAGGTTCATATTGAGGTATAATCTACTGATAAAACTACCTAGTATAATATGTTATTGAAGGTTTTTGTAGTTTATAATTTAGTGGTTATAGGACTAGTGTAAGAAATGTAATAAAAGGGAAAGGAGGTGTAAAAAATCAGGTAAGTTTAATTGATTTTTTTTTATTTTATCAAAACTTAGTAGTAATATAGTATCATGTATATTTGGAGCAACGGTACTCCAAATTATTGGGAATTAGTTTTACATTATGCGAACTGACTACAGTTATATGTACTCTGACTCTGTGTTGACTGTACTCAGGTTGCATATAACTGTACTGTACTGTACTCAGGTTGCATGTAACTGTACTGTCCTGTACTCAGTTTGCATATAACTGTAGTGTACTGTACTCAGGTTGCATGTAACTGTACTGTCCTGTACTCAGTTTGCATATAACTGTACTGTACTGTACATGACAGTTACATGTAGTTAAAAATAATCCAGTTAAAATTTGAATTACTAGACATAAGGCTAATAAAGATCCAAAATTTTATCAAATAGAGATAATAGTGGAAACCTCCGTTCTTTCCCCACGCATTGACAGAGCCAAAGAAAAAGCAAGAACTAACTATTAATTAGCTAACAGCTAAGAATTAGTAGGTAGTACTATGTATAACTGCTAATAAACTTATTCACTTTCGGTTAAAAATAACTATCATTGAATAACACTTACGAGTATGCGAATGGTGACCGTGATCCTGGGTATGATCATGTGCAGGTGAGGCGGCGAATAACAGCTCAGCTTCAGGGAACAACTCCGATGCAGACGGAGAGTCCACGCCTAAGTCCTCACACTCCTCCGACAACGATTTCTGAGAAAGAAAATCCTATTCGATACATGCGTATATTAATTAATAAAACAGAAATTAAAACACGTTGGAAATAAAATAAAAATTAACCTAACATAGGATAGATTTTTTACAACTGAAACAATAATAATTACTTTGAAAAGAAGAATACAATGAGCCTAATCCTTAAAGAATATCCATGACTAAATCGTGAGACATACTAAATTAACTAAAATCGCGGGTTACTCACGTGAATATACTGAGAAAAGCTCTACTAGTTTCACAGTGAGATGCACGACGTCGCCGCGACCGCGCACGCTGCTCATGAGGAAGAACTCCTCTATGGTTCGAAACTAGTAGAGGTTTTCTCAGTATATTCACGTGAGTAACCCACAATTTTAGTTAATATCCATGACATTAGATTTTGTGTAATCTGCAGACCATTTCTAAATTCAATACAATACAACTTTGTCAACTAATAACTCAAAATCTAGAGGTGATAAAAATATAGTATTTTCGAGAATTTTACAGACTACGCCTATGTATACGCCCATAGGTCTTTATAAAAACCATATATAATAGTATAAGAAATATAAGATAGCATTCAAAACATGTGGAAATTAAAATAGACAAAAACTAAAATTAATACATCCAAGTGAACATAATAAACTATTTAAATTATGAAACGTTAAAAATAATAACATAAAATCGTTATGCATCTTATTATTTAAAGGTATAAGACAAAGTTTGCCATACACCGGGTAAGTTAAATCAAGACTCCGTGCTATTAGTGAGATTTTTATAAAACCAAAAGTAATTTATTACCTGTAATCTCAGTTCATGTTCCAGAACAGCATATTTGTGTCGCAAAGCTGCAGCAGACACGTGACTCAAACGGTGCTGCCTTTGCTGTGATCCATCCTTCTTCTGTACAACCTACACCAGAATAATATACGTCACAATTCATCATTTAAAATTGACCATAGACAATTTCTATGGTCAATTTTGAATGAAGAATTTTAAGAATTTAGTTGTTTTATTTTTTATTTATGGCTTGTTCATTTTAGAAGTGATAGGTATGAAAAAGAAATATTTTTTTTTAATGTCATTGATTTACTTTAAAATTAATTTGGATACAGACAATTAGATTTTAAGCTTAAAGCTACAGTGATGAACAGTTTTCAAAGCCTACAAACATGATTTACCTGCCCAAATAATAATGAGTCCAATGACGGCAAAGCAAAGCTTTTCCATTTTAAAAAACACTTTTGTAAGAACAACAATATACCTTATAACTATCACATTAAGATTTAAACTTCACAACAACTAATGAAGGAACTCCAATTACAATGATCCGAGTGAAGGGGGTCATGCTGTAATGCGGGAATAGACTTGACAATGAAATTACATAGTTGGATAGACGTTGTCAATCATGCAAAAATTATAATCTAGTCGCTAGAGAATGTTGTAGAAATGAAGCTTACTCCGAGGTCAGGAGCTTGACAAAATAAAAGACAAAGACTAGTTAATGAAGAGGGGAGGCAGAATTAATAAACACCTAATGTTTGTCCGTGTCCGATCAGCGGCGATGCCAGTACATCATTTAGAAGTGACATTTGCGAATCAGCGTCGTTCTAGACGTTGCGTTTAAAACGATACTAGGAACAACACTATAGAAGCTAATGCGAAACGAACACCAAGCATGCGTAGTGTGGCATTTATTTGACTTAGATTGATTTTATTTAAATTCCAGTATTCGAAATGTCGCATTTACATGATGTATAATCAAAACGGCACACCAACGAACGAAGAACAGCTGACAAAAATAAATCGATGCGTGCATTCTACTAAACAGGCGACTAAATCGTTTAGGTTATCAGCGTCGGTTCTACGATACGGTGTACCTGATGGTAGCCCTTATCGTCGCAATCTGACGCGTCTATATCGTAGCCGCATCGCGGCGAATCGTCGTGTGAACCGACCATGTACGACCTTTTTGAATCGACGTCGAACATCTTATCAAAAATCCTTTGCGCCTCCATATCGGGACTGTATCTATCTGGGATCGGGTCCTGAAGTTGCAAAATGTGTGTCATACACGATACGAACGGCTTTAATACAATTTGGAACTATCAACGAAATATAATACATATATTTAGAGATAATAGTTCCAATATAAGTAAGGGAAGTGTACTTACAAGCACAGTGCGCTCCATGTTGTCTGTCCGAACCACCTCCTCGTAGCTGTAGTCGTGAGGATTGGCTGTGGCCGGGAGATGCCAAGGCTCTCCTCCGTCAGGGCTGGATCCTCGGTCAGGCTTCAAATCCTGTGCATCACGATCCCTCCATGGGGAACTGTTAGCTCTCGTCTCAATTAACTCAGGCGGGGCTGGTGCAGGGGCCGGAGAAGCGGTACTATCTGGCGGCTGTACAGTGGTTGCAGTCGCCAAGTTGAACGCTTGAAGATTGTGGAGTGCCGCAGTTGGTAAGCGGACATGTCGCACCCCTGGACGTGCTAACACTGGCTTCAGTCCAGCAGGACCGATAAGACGTTGTAGTAGCAGTGCATTTCCTCCACCTTCTCCACCGCCCACTGTAAGTAGCTTCGGGCCTCTGTTTGTCACTATAGCAATTTGTTGGCCACCTTTGATCATAGAAACTGGTAGAATGTAGTTAGCTGGCATGAGTACGGCGGCTGTGGAAGGTTTGCCAGCCGTGCCTCGAGCAACGGTGATTGTTTGACCATCAGCAACGATGACGTTACGTTGTGGCTGTGGTCTAGGTTGAGGTGTGGTTGGTGTTTCCTGTTCAAAAGTAAGTTTGCGCACTACTTTGCGTGGACTGTCTTGTGGGGAATGGCTGTCAATGCAGCTATCGTTGCAATCACCCTGAGATGTACCACAGCTACTGTCCTCAGACCCCATTGTCCTACAGGAGTCGTCCGCAGGACTCAAATCTCGGCGACGATAACTAGAGCTCTTCTTGCGTTTCGATGACCCTGGATTTGAAGGTGGATTGTTTCTTCGTCGCGGTGCAGGTTTATCTTTGTCAGGAGAATTTTCCACCTGTTCTTTATATTCAGCTAAGATGTAAAGAATTCGTTGAGTAGTCTGCTCATCTTCAGCCGGTTTTTGTGTGGATGGCTTTGGAGGAGTAGTGTTAAGTTTTAGTGTATTCGGAGGATTCGAAGACGCTTTTGGTCTTGATTTAGACTTTGAACTGGATTTAGATTTAGATGGCGCTGGAGCGTCAGATGTTGATGGTTCGCTGGTAACCGTGTGGGGGATCTGACTATGCGACGATGAAGAGGGTGACGAGTCAACGATACCAGAAGAATCAGGTGACCGTGCGAAAGACGAAGTTGAAGGTGTTGGCGTTGATGACGGACCTGGTGTTGCGGACTTCTTGTTCACGTAAGAAACGTTCAAAGGTTGTGTGTTCCCGATGGAGTAGAGAACTTGGTGCTGCTTATGTGGTTGGGCACGAGACGTCTCTCCAGAAGCTGAGCTGGTAGACGCCGTTGAGTCAGTCTTGTCTTTTGACTTTTTCGAACCCTTTTTCGATTTCGGTTGTACCGTGCTCCTTTCTTTGACTTGTTCCAGTACTAAGTCAAACTCTCTAAGCTGCTCCAATGTCGATGAGCTCATGGACTCAGTTGATGATTGACTTTCACTGGCACTTGGTGCAGTTGCAGCTTTAGTGGGTTTGCTAGTTTGCTGGGTAGATTGTTGGGTGGTCTGTTGGGTAGTTTGTTGGCTAGCCTGTGGGGTGGCCTGCTGGGTTGCCTGTTGGGTAGATTGTTGGGGAGTTTGTAGGGTAGTTTGATGGCTAGCTTGGTGACTAGTTTGATGGCTGGTTTGGTGGCTCGTTTGGTGGCTAGTTTGGTGGCTCGTTTGGTGGCTCGTTTGGTGGCTCGTTTGGTGGTTCGATTGGTGGCTCGATTGGTGGCTCGATGAGTGGCTCGATTGGTGGCTCGATTGGTGGCTGGTTTGGTGGCTCGTTTGATGACTGGTTTGGAGGTTGGTTTGATGGCTAGTTTGGTGGTTGGTTTGATGGCTGGTTTGCTGGCTAGTTTGATGGCTGGGTTGTTGGGTAGTTTGTTGTGCGGTTGGTTGGGAAGTTTGTGGTACTCTTACAGTTTGTTGGCCCAGCTGCGGAGCTGCTGTAAGCACCAACTGTTGATACACAGGCTGGTTGGTCCCAGAGATGACATTTCTTTGTATTTGGAAGAATGATGGCCGCACAACTCTCCCTCCAGACACCATCTGGGGTGCTTTGCTTAACATTGGCAATTTTATTCGCATTTGCGTCAATACTGGTTGTTGTTGGGTAGCGTGTGAGTTTTCATTTGTCGCCCCAAGGAGTTGATTTGTTTCGTCATTAGTTTCTGTATTGGCGTGAGTTGGTGTTTGAGGAACAATCTTTATTATCGACGGCTCTATTTCATTCTGTTGTTTTTGATTTGACTCATCTATTAGGTCTGAGCTAGGTACAGTGATCAGGTTAATAGTTTGACCTCCAGAGAGGTTTACAGGTATTTGTCGAGTGTATATCACACCGCCGTGGATGTTCATTGGCGATATAGTTTGTTTTATTTGTTGAACTAAATTCGGCTGAGCTTGCGATGTAGAAGGCTTCCTCAATAATAGCGGTGGACTTCCAATTTGGCTTATATGATCTAAATTGATAGCATTATCATTTGCTTGACAATCAGGGTTTTCTTCAGGTGACATTTCATTTCCATTACTAATGTCGTTTTTCTGTCCACCATCTTGATAAACTTGTTTCCCAAAGGCTTGGTTGAATTTAGGTAAACTCGTTCCTTTTTCTGGAGAATTGGTTTTAGGTGATGAGCTTTGTATGAATTTCGCATAATTTTCTTCGTAAATGGACCGGGATTTTATTTCTGCGTCTTTAGCAGCGCTTTGGGTTGGACTGAGGTCTTGTGTCTCTATTTGTTTAGGCTGAGCTTGTTGTAGATTGGGTGCCTCGACTGGTTGTAATCTGAGAACCATGCTCCGTTGGTGAGGCCCATTTAACTGTATAGGTTTTCCATCAGCGGATTTACAAACAAATTGTACCATTTTCTGTTCATTTCCTCCTTGAACGTTTGTTAGGTTGGTTAGAAGATTTACTCTCTTCAGTAGCTGACCAGTATTTGCATTCTTTTGGTTTCCAGCGTTCACAATGTGGAGAAGTTGATTGCCTTGTTGCAAACCAGCATCTACTAAGGAGAGCCCACTGAAAGAATTTGTTTGTGAAGCCGGTGTTCCATTCGACGTAGGACCAGGAGGTACAGTTTTGTTCTGCACGATGTGCAAAACTGGAGTATTATTCGGATTGTTTATAACAGACTGCTGGCTATTATCAACTAAAGTGATTTGTTGATGGTTCCCTGAAGCACTCTTTCCTTGCACTATATGTAAAACTTGGGGCGTCGAGGATTGCTGACTGTTTTCCGAGCTATTTGTTTGATTCAACGGCGGCGGGAGTATTTGGGCTAACGCTTGCTGTAACGCCATAGCATTAATAGATGTAGTTTTTTGAAAATTATTTGGCGTTTGGTTTGTGGTGACGTTGCCTTGCCTTATTTTATGGGAGAACATGTTTACAATAGCTTGTGTTCTGTTATTCGAGACGGGTTCTGAGGTTGCCGTAATTCCCGCTGCATTCATCGCATGGGCAATTTGGTCAGTTTTTTCTTGTGGACCGTTTTGCTGCAGCTGCTGATGTTGTTGCTGCTGCAGTTGCTGTTGTTGTAATTGTAATTGCTGCTGTTGTTGTTGCAACTGCTGCTGCTCTAGCTGTTGTTGCTGTTGCTGCAACTGATGTTTCTGTTGCAACTCATGTTGTTGCATTTGTTGCTTTTGCTGTAACTCTTGTTTCTGTTGTTTTAATTGCTGTTGTTTCATCTCTTGTTGTTGTTGTTTTTGTAGCTTTAATTGTTGCTGTTTTAATTCTTTTTGTTGTTGCTGCTGTAGTTTGAGCTCTTGTTGTTTTTGTTGCTTTTGTTTTTGCTCTTGTTTTTGCAGCTGTTGTTTGAGTTCTTTTTGTTTCTCCTTTTGCAGCTTTAGTTCTTGTTGTTTTTGTAACTGCTGTTGTTGTTTTAGTTCTTGCAATTGCTGCTGCTGTTGCTGTTTTTCTTGTGCCAGTTTTAGCTCTTGTAAATGTTGTTGGTGTTGTAGTTCTTCTTGTTGCAGTTTCAGCTCTTGTAAATGTTGTTGTTGTTTCAATTCCTCTTGTTCTTTTAGCTCAAGTAACCGTTGTTGTTGTTGCCTCTGTTCCTCCTCTTGTTGTTGTTTAAGCTGATGTTCCTGCATCTGTTGCAGTTTTTGTTGCTCTTGTTCAAATTGTAACTGGCGTAGTTCTAACTGTCGTTGCTCATATTCGTGTTGTTGTTGTTGAAGATGTTGCTGTTCTTGTTCATATTGCTCGTGTATAAGTTTCTGCTGGTGTTGGTATTGGTCCTGATGTTGATATTGCTCATGCTCTTGCTGCATCTGATGATATTGCTCGAGTTCTGGCTGCAGTTGCTGGTATTGCTGCTCGTGTTCTGGTTGATGCATATGCATGTGTTCGTGCTGCTTGAGATGAGGATATTCTTCATGCACAGGCACAGACACAGGCACAGGCGTCTGCTTATCAGTATAATTATACATCATACTCATATTAGGATTGGGTTCTAAAGGTGGTAAATGCGTATGGTTAGTTTCATATGAGTAATCAACGTTATTCATCATATTTTTTTCAAACATCTGTGGATACTCATTGTTCTCAAAATTATCATTAACCTCTTCTTTTATTTCAGGTGTTTCTTCCATTTCTATTTTAATTTCTGGTTTTATGTCTACATCGACGGTGAAATTACTAGCCATCGGATAGTTCATCTCATCATGTGACGGTACTGGCATTGACTGGATATGTTGAACGTATTCTTGAGCTAAAGGCATGCTCAAATCAGCGGTTGTGAGTTCTGTGTACTCTGTTTTTATCACAGATTGGTCATCGCCGGGACTGTTTTCAGCAGAACATTGTGATGGACTAACGTTCGACACTTGCGTGACTCGAGGATCACATGTCACAGGATTCTGAGCGGACGCGCTGACAGGTAATTGTCCCACTTGTACAACCTGAACAACGGCTTCGACTGGCACAGGATCTATAAAATCTGGATCTGTAAGTCCGAATGGGAATTTTGAATAGTCAAGCAACCCACTGGTATATGACAAGTCTTTTTTATCTTGTAGTTTCATCCAATCATAACTCAATTCTGCCATCGTCTGCTCAAAGAAAGATCGGACTTTATTCTTTAGTACAATGCATCTAATGTTGTTTTTCATCTTGTCTCTGTCACCATATTTAGCAGAATTAACAGATTTACGCACAAGTTTATAATTAACATAACCTTCGGACAGTAAAAGCGGCTGAGTTTGTTTTACGTCCGACAGAGTCGCAGCCGAAAATTTTGTACCACATCCGTCTTCCAAATTTTGTATGACTCTGCCGGACCTCTCACCAAAACCCATATGGAAATTAGTTTCATTTGTGTCGCAAGTTTTGTAGTCTGTTTCGTCATATTCAGTGCTAATTTCTTCAGCTAATGTCAGCGTCCTTGGATCGGGCGATTTATCACCCATCTGATCCATGTCAGTAAATAACGTCTCGTCCGGTTCAGTCTCAGGTTGTTCTATTTTACAAATACCTCTTATAGGCCATGATTTTAATACTTCATGCACGTCTATGTGCTCTTTATGAAAAGGACGTGAATAAGAAAATTTTACAGAGCTGCAGTAATCCAGAAGTCGCTTGAACTCCTTGCTGTACGCAGAGTCACCCATAGTTGTGATAGTAATTTTCGGGTAGTCAATATTCTTTCCTTTCCTATATTTCTTCTCATACAATTTCACATCAGTCATCTCGGCCTTCCGCTTCAAGCTCTTCGTTTTATTACCTCTAAAAACATAATCAAAATGAAGGCCATTCGGATATTTCTTGGAATACGATACCATAGGAACATTGAGCTTGATATCAATTTCTTCAATCTGACCTTGTGCACCAATTTGTTGGGTTATCAGTACACTAGGATTTTTATTACCATCCCCATAATTCATCATTATGCTTGGAATAGGCTTCGATAATGAGCTCGGAGTCGGGTCTCGATTTGAACATATATTCATTCGACTCGATGCATTTGCGATAACTGTTTGCGCTATATCGTCATCAAGAATTTCGTCGCTATGCATATCAACGATTTCTTCTATAAAGTAATTGTTGTCATCAACCAGAACATAATGACAAACTTGGTTCTGATTAAAAGCATCTTCTTTTGAGTCTTCCTTTGGGTTACGTTCATTGTTTACTTTTATTGCATTAAGTACTTCATTTTCTTTGGGGGCTGCGTCAATTTCGGGTGCAAGAGAATTTTCTCTTGAATCAGAATCTATAACTTTAAGTACTGTGACGACTTCATTATCATCACCAACAGAGGGCGACTCATCGATTATTTTTTCTTCAGTTGTTATTTCATTAGCATCTGTGTCAATATTCAAAACTTGGAGTTTGTTTTTCTCACGAACACCCGTAGTGTCCATTTTTTCTGGTGTTACATTAGGAGGGCATGGAGAACCATAAGAATGATCTATAACTGGCGTTCTCGGTCTTTGCTCATCAGTACCTTCGAAAATATTTCGTAGATACGAACGAATCTTAGTTAAATTGTCTTCCCTGGCTTCTTGAGATTCTTCTGTAGCTAGGGTGTCCCTTATTTCTTCAATTCCTGTGTTAACATCTTTTGTGACCATACCGCCACAAATACTCTGCAGTGTGGACTCTATTTGCATGTACGTGAAATCTTCATCTTCCAAATTAATTGATTCTGTTGCTTGGGTCGGCCTACTAACTTTCTCTTCAATTTCGTCTTCGGTATACTCAAACATGTTTCGCAGGTTTCTTTCAACTTCTTTTAATTTTGCATCGATATTGTCTGCAATATTTTCCACATTCGTTTCTGTACTTTGCACTATGACGTCTGTACGATTACTCACCCAAATCTTTGATTCTTGTGTTGGTGAATCATTCGTGTCTTCTTTTTCGGGGTCTTTTTCTTCACAGACATCCCCTGATGGCGATTGAAGTTGCTCGAGTATCATTTTCTCGACAGGTGCGGTATTATTCTCTATTGTCATTTTCTTCGTAGTTTTGAATTCGTTTTCAGTCTCTGGTGAATTTGTATCGACACTTTCAGTAACGGTTTCAATTTCGTATAGCTCAGAAACTTGGATGTCTTGCGATTTTAGATCAGCAGTTTCAGAGTATTCCGCAGCTCTTTCCTCTGGAGCAGCGTTTTCAACTTGTATCCCTTGTAATTGTATGACATTTTCTGTTAGCACTTCGTGTTGCATCAATTCTGTGTCCGATTGTTTGCAAAGATCTTGAGTAGCCATAACATGATTTACTAAACTCATATTATGATCGTCATTCATGATTGCATCTGGTTGTACTGATGCCGATTTCATTTCAGCCTCTTCAGAGGTTAACATTGATCCATTATTTTCCGTCGCTTCTAGCTGAGTTTCAGAGTTATTTTCCATTAATTTTTTTCCTGATTTCATGTCTTCCCCGTCCTTTTCTTCGTCTTTTCCGGTATTTTTTTCGGCATCCAAATGAGTTTCGCTATGTGTTTGAATATTGTGGCCATATGAAGAAATTATTTTGTTAAACATGATGTCACATGCTTTAAAGACATCAGTGATCTCAGTGTCTTTACAGACTTCTTCATTGCTTTGAGAAATAACTTCCGTTGTGTTAGATTCAGAAAACAAATCGTGCGTAACTTCATTCGTCTTTTTATTATCTTCAGCTTTATAAATATCTTCAATTTCAGTAATAGTATTAGCCTCTTTCAGTTTTGAATAGCTATCGTTTAATTGAAATTGTTCCTTATCATTATCTATATAAAATTCAGTCTGTAGTTCATCATGCAATATAGAAGAGCTGGCAGCATCTTCACTAAGACTTTCCGCATAAGTAGTTGTAGAACCCAGTTCTATAAATTGTTCTTGTAATTCTTCCTGCATCTGGGAGTTTTCATCAACTGTTTCCCGTATATCCAAATTATTTTCTGAGGTTTCCATAGCCAGAAGTCTGTAATTGTCTGGCTTTCCAGTTTCGCAATCAATATTCACATTAGAAACAGGTTCAGTATCCTTGACATTGACCTCTTCATCTAGCATTTGGTTCTTAGAATTTATTAGCGGGCTTGAAGTCTTACTATATTTAGATATTTTATTATTTGTCGTTATAATTTCTAGAGATTTTCTTTTTAGGTTTGATGTCGAATTTTTAAAATGTGATTTAGTTTCCTGCTTGGCAGAAGTTATTCGATCTAGAGTTAAGTCATTTTGTAAGAGTTTCAATACCAAGGTCTTGAGAGGCATAATATTATCTCCATTCGCTGTAGTATTATAAGAATCAGCTCGAACATCGTGAGCATCTACTTTAGACTTTTTTAGGCTCTTCGGTTTAGTTAAAAACCAATCAGCGTCACATGTCGACCTCATCTCGACATGTGACGTATATGAATGCTTCTGAATTTTTGCAGCTTTTGTAGTATGATGACCATCATATACAGCAGCAATGGTTTCATATGCTTCCATCACTGGTGAACTAATTTGGTTAGCGGTTTGTTGAGCATCAAGTATTTCATAATCGGTAAGAATAGACAAAGATTCACAACGCATCAGATTGGTTGAGCCCACTATCGTCTCTTCAGGTGTCCCATCGTCGACAATCGTAACGTCAGCTTTTAATTCATTGGATGATTTTATTTCATCACATCGGACCAATTTAACAAAACATTCTTTTAGTAATTTCAGATTTTCATATCTTCTTACTAGATCGTCACATTTTGGTACCTTTACAAAACATTCTCGCGTTTTTGGGAGATGACTGGGCGAAGATTTGTTGCTATCTGAAAGCCCACCTTCAAAAACTTGAGGCGAATCAAACAAAGAAAAGAATATGTCGTTTGTATGTGCAGAACTTTCAGCAGGTTCTTCTAGATTAGGTTCGTTTGGTGGCGTAGAAGTGTCAGCCAAATCTATACCAAGTTCTTTAAATAATAGATTTCTAAACTCATTTATCTTTTCTTCAACTGGTTTTGCGTTATCATTCATTTCAGTTGATGTATTGTTCTCACAAGTAATGCTTATTGGTTCTTTTCGTTCTATATGCGGCATCAGCCCTGTGATAGTTTCATGTTCGTCACTGGATGAATCATCGATCTCTATTACCTCTATAGGTTCTTTCAACACAGATTTAGATGCAATATTTATTTCATTTCTTGATTTAATGTTTTGATTACGTATAATCACACTAGGCCGCAAAGCACGGTGCAGATCACGCCGTGATCTGAAATCAGAGGTAGATGCGCGCCGCAGGTCAATCTTGGAAACCGGTCTCAAATCACGATCTAGTGTAGTTTGTAAGTCTAGTGTACGACCCAGTCTATCTTCAGCTACTAGTGATTTTGGTTTAGAAACAGATTGCGGTTCGACCGTCAAAGTTGAACGTTCGTTAGGTGTTATTATAGGCATTTCAGGTCTAGAAGCCAGCTGCACTTGTGTTTTAGACACATTTGCCGTAGCAACTAATGGTATTTCAGAATTTGAAGTTTGTTGCATATCGAGCTTAGAAACCGGCAGAACTTCGAGTTGACCTTCAGATCTGGGCACAGGCTGCATGTTAGTAACTGGCAGTATTTCTGAATTAGAGCCTGATTGCTTCTCTGGTTGAGAAATTCGTGGCTCTTTGGGATTGGACATCAGTTGATCATGAAGCATAGTATCTGTTGGCACTTTAGACTGAGAAACTAGCTGCTCCTTAAGATTTGACCCGGATTGCAGTCCGGGCTTGAAACTGTGTCCATCACATGTAGCAATTTGAGGTACTTCAGACATTGCCGCTGTCTGCTTTTCGGGCTTAGATACAAGCTCATCGGCGTTAGGAACTGGTAGCTCTACAGACTTCGACCCTAACCGTAATTCGAACCCGGATCCTAGTTGCACATCACGGACCACAGGAACTGATTGCATTTCAGGTTCGGATATTAGTACAGGGACAGGGTTGAGTACCAACTGTTTATCTGTCTTAGGTACTGATTTAGATGCAGCGTGCTTTTCTAGAGTATGCTTACCAGGTGGACATATTAAGACATTAGAGAGAATTATTGGTCGACTTTTTGGTTTCGTAACTGGTGGTAAATTAGGTTCAGATACCACATCCACATCAGGTATCGTTACGGGTTCTGCTTCAGTTTGAACAATTGATTGTAATTCGGGCACGCTCATCGGTTGCACATCAATAGCAGCAAGTGAGGTATCAGCTTCAAATGCAGGTGGAATGATATCCAGTGTAGATTGAGACATAGGTGAAAAAATTATATCTTCATAAACAGATCCATCTAGAATAGGTGCTGTAGACGTATCCGTTTGTACGTTATCTTTCGTCAAATCATTCTGGCTGCTTGAACGACTAGATAAATCACATTTTGTTAATTTTACATAACACACTTTATCTAACACTTTTTGATGTTTTTCCAATAAGTCTTTATCTATATTTTTTATGTTGTACTTGCCATATTGTGTTTGAATACACTGTGTTTCTTCGTCGGAGTCACTAAGTAAATCGATTGTTTCCACCTCGCCAGTTGGCCATCCAGATGCTAAGCTATTTTCATTATTTAGTACTCTTTCAGATTGGATTACGTAAGACCTCCCTAATTGTTTTATGTTTAAAGTATATCGTTTTCTTTGAGATAATATGTTGGTCAATAAAATCTTTTTCAGTGCATGGACCGTAAATAATGTTTTGATGTTTAGATTCGTTTGACCATGGACGGTCGCCTTAAATACTTTACCACACGGTAGCTTAATCCGCACAAGTTTCTTTAACGGATCACCTGTATTTATATGAGATAAATCTTCGACTATAATAGAATTCAAATAAGATAGTGGTATGTCATCGATTCGTTCACTGTCTCTCTTATTTGATTCGTTGTGTTGGACGGGTTCGTCATCATCATCTTCATCGATACATATTACTTCATCAACATTGTCGTCAAATACTTTTTGAGCATTAACTACATTATTGTCAACAGATATTTTGTTATTGACTTGTGCTTCAACTTTTCGAGTTTCAGTTTGAATTTCAGTTGGAAGTTCAGAAAGTGAACTTGTGCAAGATTCCTCTGTATTATACATTATTTCTTTACAAGCTAAACTTATGTGTTGTTTGTCAGTTGTATCTTTTATGCTATCTTCTAATTTTTTCACATAACTTTCAATTTCGTCAACAACGTCAGGGTCTGTTACTAGTTGTTTAATGTTTGCATCAGCTTTCGTAGAGTCAGTTACTAAAGTGTCAGTGACCTCTTTGACTAATGACATTTCATCAACATTTTTCTCAGGAGTAACTGTAACATCTTTTTCCGTGCCATCAGCCGGAGGTCGTAACAGGAGGCTAAGTGAATCCTCATTGTCTAGAATGCTTGGGCTCGTACAATTATTAACGACAGTGTCGCTTTCAACGCTTTCCAAAATCTCATCCACATTAGGAATTTCAACTAAGGATGGTACAGGCTGGTCTGGGGATATTACTTTAAGGATTTTAGATGTTACTATTTGATCCTCAAGATCCATCATCACTGTTTGTTTGTTCGGTATTTCTGCCTCCTGTATCAAATCGGGTTTATTGTGAATATTAAGTTTTAGCTTCATATTTCTTTTAGGTTGGGCTTTAGTTGCTTTCTTCTTTACTTCCACTTTCTTAATAGTTTTATTAAGTGTCTTTTTAGGTGCTGGTTTCTTCGATGTTTTAGGCTTAGTGGCCTCAATAATTTTATTGACGGTCTCCACAGGTTTTATTCTAGCTTTAGATTTCTTAGGTGCAGCTACCTTCTTGGCCGTAATTGCATCTAAGCTGATTTCCTTGTTACTAGAAGATCGCAATACGATACGACGTGGTGTCTTATCTTTATTTTCTTTACATTTTTTGTTAGCGTCGTGCTTAACAGGTTTCTCTACATTCAACACTTTAAGGTTCACCAGTGTTCCTAGTTTTATAGTTTGAATTGTATTGTCAATTTTAGTGCAAGCAGAAATATTCTTTTCGTTATTAATTTCTTGAGGAACAGCTGGTACTATTTTGATAGCGATGATTGGAGCATACGTTAACGGAATTGCTTGCTTATCGCTTCGGTGAATAATATTCCGATTTAGTATAGACATGCGTTTCTTTTGCAGTCTTTCTTGGTCTTTTAATACCTCATTGACCATGTCGCAATTCGCCTTTGATTGGCTTTTTGTCTTCTGTTCTGTTTTCTCGGCTACCTTCTGTTTTTCCTGCACCTCAGATAGTACCTTCCTTTCAGAAATATTCTTATTAGAATTAATATCAACTTTTTCTTTATCGTTTTTCGAAGTAATGTCACCATTCACGTTATCAACTGAATTAGGTTTAGGTTCTGATTTATCGTTTTTAGCATCATGGGCAGTCTTGTTTGGAACATTATTTATCACTTCTGCGCTTTCAGTGGTCGTTTGGTTACTTTCAGGTAATTTTACTGTAGCATTTCCTATGATAACAGGATTTACTGTTGAAGCAGCGAATTGTGTGGTCTGATAAATAGCCATATTTGACTGGTTATTAAATGCAACGTATGTGTTTTGGTTTGGAGCAGTTGTGCGAATAGGATTTTGAATAGTGCAAGGTTGATACACAACGTCTGATCCGATAAGAACCATGTTTTTTAAGGTAGGTTGCCGCGGTACTCCAGCTGTTGATGTATTAGTCTGACTCTTTGCTCGTAACTGATCAATTTTAACATTAAGGCTTGGTTTATTTGTCTTCTTCGAAGAAGTATTAACACTTTTAGGTAGCTGTTGAACAGTTACTGGTGGATTTGTAACATCAACATTTTTAGTGACACATTTCGGGTCGATAAATCCTGGAGTATGCAGTTGCTTGGAAGGATCAAAGACAGTCTTTGGGATTTCGCATACTACCACTTTTGGATCGGTTTTCTTATGCACTGCGCCATTATTAATCGCTGTTGAATTTGAGCGCCTTTCTTCTCGCACTACAGGAATGGAAACATTACTCATATTGAGAGACTTTTCTTTTAGGCCATGCATGGGAGTTGAATAACTCTCTTCGTCTGATGATAATTCGCCGATTTCTTGTCGTAAATCATCGTCCATCAATTCCTCAAGGAGATCATAATCCGAGTTAGGTATACCCGAGATGAAAGGGTCGTCATGTTTGAAATATGTAGTAGTAAATGGTTTCTCATTATTTTTTAACGGTATTTTCTTATACACCTCTGCCTGGTCTTTTGAGGAATGCATTGATCTTTTTTCAGATTGAATTTGACGTTTTGACATTTCGGGTTGTGTCGGCTTTATGTTCGAAGTAAATTCTGTAGTAGTGGTGTTTGCCGGTTTCAGAAGACTCTTAGCCGGGGTCTTTTTACTTTTACTGGTTTTGATGACAGTTTCCGAGTTTGACCGGCTCAATGTGGGCGGGGGAGGGCTCGTTTTCGGGTCCACATTCATTACCGAATTTGTCGGAGCTTTGGTTATCACATTTATCATTTTAATTTTATTATCTCCAGTCGAGTTTGTCTTGACTATCCTTTGATTGCGCAAGCTTTCTGAAATTGTCTTTTTATAACTGTCTTTATTTAATGCCATGTCGAGAGCGTTTGGCCCTCTGCTTGGGGTCTTATGAGATAAAATGGCGTCCATCACCTTCTCCCAATCAGTTTCTTTACTATCACCAGGTTTAGCTGTATCAGGTTTGTGCTTGCTCTTGCCCTCGTTGTTACTAAAGAGTTCAATCTTATGTGTCTTCGGGTCTACTGTTTTAGGAAAGTTATATTCAGTCTTCACCATATTTATAGGTTTTGTTTGTGGTTCACAATTATTGAGGTTCGCTGGCTTTATACTCGGACTAGGTTTAGTAACTTGTTTAATGCTGACATTGCTTATATTGATATTAGGAGTTTCTAATATCTTGTTCTTTATTAGCGACTGACTAGAACAGGGATTAGGAAAGCTTGAAGTCGTGGGACATGTAATTGTCTGTGGAGGAGGAACTCTCTCCTTAATACATGGTCTTTGTTGATTAAGTTTCGATTGCTGACGCAAAAGAAGAACTAATTCCTCTTGATCTTTTTCTGTCAATGCATTTAGTGTTGGTGTAGCCTGTGGAGATTCCAATTTACTATTTTTGTTATGAATCTCAGGTTTCAATGGCTTCGTACTTGACAGCATGTTCGCCATTACGGGATTTTGTTTCGAAATACTTTGTTTTGGTTTATCAATCTTCCTTTGTACACTCAGACTGTTGTCATGTTGCTGATATGATTGTCTATCGTATCGCTCATTTTTTATTGACAAATATTTATCTTTTGCTTTTTTCTGTTCAATTACAATCCGGTCTATTTCAGCTTCATTCGGGGGATTTTGAAGCGTTTTACTCTGATATTCTATTAGGGCTTCGACGACGGGATTCACTCCGTTAATTTTTGAGTCTATTTTATTTTTGTGTAGATAACTGAGGCGCGAAAACGTGTTTAAAAGGTTATCAGATTTCTTTTGAGTTTGTTTGGCACTTTGGGGAGATGATTTGTGTTCAGCTTTCGCTGCGGGCAGTACTGGAGTGACCCTGCTCAGTGGTTTAATTTCTTTTCTGCTAGAAGTAGATTTACTTATGTGTTCGCCCGCTCCTGCGTTAATAGACTCCTGAAGTTCTTTAAGGAATGCGTGAAATTTTTGAGTATTGCATTTTTCTGGTTGTTGCTTATTTAAAATATTTGGACGTAACGCCTTTGTGTCTGCCGTGGGTCTGTACAAATCTGGTGGTAATTTATGTACACTTGGACTAGGGAAACGATTTCCACTTGGCAGAGAATTGTTCAACTTTACAGTCTTGGGGGTGCAAGGCACGACAGGTCTTGCTATTCCAAAGGTTTTAGAACTCAGTAAGTTGTTAACTTCATTCTTCAAATCTGTTAGTTGCGCCGACTGGGTCTGATTAATAAAGATTTTTGAAGTATCTTGTATTTGAGGTTTTGGAGAGACATGAGCTGGGGCTGATGACATTTGGACTAGCTTCGGAGAGACATGAGCAGGTGTAGGTGATAGTGGCACCGGCTTTGGAGGTTGAGGAGTTATCACTGGCGTATCAGTTCCTTTCTTATAAGTGTAAGTATGAACTACATTAGGTTGCAAGTTAATTTTTGGTTCCATGTCAGGAAAAGACTTCTGTCGCCTATAGTGTAGCAGTTTACTTAAACTTTCCTTCACAGACATGTTGCTTGGACTGAAAGTAGAGGTCAAATTGCTTGGAGAACTGGTCCTAGACCTTGGTTTTTCCTGTACTTTGGGCTGTGCATTTTCCTGTACTTTGGGCTGTGCAATCTCATTTGTTGGTACATTCTGATTGATTCCAACGGGCGGTGGATTTGTTACATTAGCAATTTGTGGTTCAGTTTTCTTGACTTGATTCTTGTCTGGACTCTTTTCTGGTGATTTTAATTCGTCCATAGAAAATAGGCCATCAAATAGGACATCAGGTTCATTGGTTTCTGAGATCCCAGAGTTGAGTGAGAGTTTGCCTTGGCTGTCATAGTCACTGTCGCTGACTGAGGGTATTTTAGCAGGCCTCACAATCTCTGGTCTCTGGTTTGTAATCTTAGAAACTTTCATTCCAATCAAATTTGACAAAGAAGAGGGTTTCGCTTGAGGCGCCGGGGCCTTAGCCGCCTTTTCTTTCTTCTTTCTCTCCCGCTTTTCTTTCTTTTTAGGTTCTTTCTTTACCTCTGTACTTTGGTTTATTTCTGGTTCAGTTACCTCTAAAGGATCTTTGGGTTTCGCTTTAGGTTTTGTTCGTTTACGCTCTTTACTTCTTTCTTTGCTGTGCGGTCGTTCTTTCTTCTTTTCTATTCTTTTAGCTTCTGCAACGAGGCTGAGAGGGTCTGAATCGTCCTCTGAGGAGAGGGGTTTCTTGGTCTTTCTCGGTATTTTCTTGGTTCGCACGGGGCTATCCTCAATGTCAGTAGACACTGCACTCTGTGTTCTTTCCGAGTCCTCAGCATCTTGCCATATTTCTTCAGGATCCTGGTATTGTTCTACGAGATGCTCGTAGCCTTTTGACAAAATTTTAAATTGTTTTATTTATACATTTTGTTTATTGAAGTTAAAAGTTGAGTATAATCTAATATGCATTTTAAAATTAAGACAGATTAAGACAATAACCGCAATGCTAATCAGTCTAATTAAAAAATATTAAGAATTCAACTTTATTGTAAGAAATTGTATTATTCCTAGGGGCTCAGTATCTTTGGACGCTATCTCACTTGACGGTAAGCATCCACAATTACTTTCTAGAAAATATAATTTTAACAATAAATTAATATTGTCCTTACCTTTCTCAATCCCGTAGTACATGTCAGTGTCGTCATCCTCCTCCTCGGGTAGATGTTGAAACTGGCTCGGGTCCAAGTTCAAGTACTTCAACTCCGTGGTCAGCGCGCAGGTACCGAACTTCGTACGCTCCATATACGCTCGACAGTTATCTAATAATTTATCCCTGAAACATTACAATATTGGATTTAGAAAGTCATCCTACTAATCCTACTAATATTACAAATGTTTTTTTCTTTTTCATGTTTGATTGGAATTTAATTCGGAACAAGGGTAGATTATGGTCTAGCTAGAATCACACAAGTGGAACCACTGGCAAAAAACAGTAATCAATATTCCGATAGAGTCCACTGCTGGACAGTAAGCCTAATATTTGAATACTGGCAAGCAAGTTAGAAATTGTAGTAGAAAAGAATCCGACTTCTCAAAAAATATTGATGACGCCTTGTTCTTGGTTGAACTAATAAAATACTATTAACAATCATGAGCTTTATTACACCAACATACCTGTCCATATCCCATGAAAGGGTCTTCAGTCTAGGTCCAGACAACAGTACTGCAATATCAGTGCAGAGCTCCGGACTGATCCCTAGGGCTTCGGCCTCACTGAATATCGCAGTAGACAACACATTGGCCTGATTCTTCGTATGTTTAAGGTTCAGAGTCTCTGATGTCTTCACAAAATTTGTCTGCGAACGGGAATCGCTCGCCCAACTACCGAATTCAGAAGTTGGTTCCTCTTTCGTTTCGTGAACATCCTGGAATTAGGGATAAATGTTTTGATATTAAGTTATGGTAATAGAGTTACTGTTTGGATTGCATTGTAATATTTGATTTTTAATGGACTCTTAGAAGTGGCTGTTTATTGAGTAATAGGGAAACAGAAAATTGGTGTGAAAAAATACTTGTATTATGTTTGTATTGAGTACTTGTATTGAGTAACGTTATCAGAGACCCAAACCTTTCCTAGTTCCTCAATACTCAAACATTAATCCCCAAAAGGCCGGTAACATACTTGAAGACTGCTCTGGTGTTGCGGGTGTCCATGGCGGTGCCGAATGCCGACCATCAAGTGATCCGTTTACTTGTTTGCGACCCTATACCATAACAAAAGATGGACATACCCTGGCCGGCGGCGGCGGCGGCGTGGCCTTGCTGACGCGTTCGTACAGATGCGGCGAGGGATGCACGGAGAAGGCAGTGAGCGCGCACTCGGCCCGCAGGCGCGCGCTGGGAGCCAGCAGCGCGCCCAGCTGGGTGAACCAACCCGCCAGGGTCTGCTCCGCACCGCGGGCTTCAGCCTCCTGCAGCAACGAACATGTTTAACATAAAGGTTAAAATTATGTTCATAAATATTTCATAAAATAAGCTTTATAAGCCTGGAAGTAGATACCAACAAACACTGCGAAAGGCTCCAATGTTTCCAATGTTTTAAAAAAACTGTACATGTGGTTCACAAATCAGTCACAAACAGTTTAAAAAAATTAAAAAATCTTGGTTTTCTTTACTACTTTTTACTCATAAATACTGAGGACAAACCGCAAAAGGACACAAGAGTAAATACCAATAGAATTACAAGCCCAAACTAGTACACAGGACTCGTTTTATTGTAACAAATGCAGCACTTTGTAAAATAACATAACATAACATCACGCCTTTTATCCCCGAAGGGGTAGGCAGAGGTGCACATTATGCCACTGTACAATGTAACACCCACTTTTCACTATTTATGTTATGAGTTCTATGTAATAGGGGGTGAGCCTATTGCTATATACCGGGCACAATTCCAGACTCCGTGCTACTACTGAGAATATTTTAAAAACCCAGTAATACTTTGCCCGACCCGAGAATCAAACCCGAGACCCTTTGGCCGGGAGTCGCACTTGCGACCACTCGGCCAACGAGGCAGTCAGTTACAATTTAGTAAATTACAACAAAAGTCAGTATCAAATTATAGTTGTAAATTAAACATACCTTTTCAGTCTTAAGTTTGAGCCTCTCAAGCTCGTTCATGCCAGCAGTGATTGCTCGCACGTACAATTCACACACAAATGGCTTCATGTCCGGGGTGCTCTGTAAATTGAGAATTTACTATTAGACATGCTGTAAATCTTGTAAACTCAATAAACAAGCTAGAATAAGACGTATTATAGGGCCAAAATGAAAAAAGTAGGAGTCTGACTAATCAATATTTTTCTGGTTTAACGATTCCCATGTTTGTGTTAAAGACAAGGCGAATCTGTCTTTTTGTTCCCGATCCCAAAACCTCCAATCTGTAAAAGGCCGGCAACGCATTTGTTTTCTTCTGGTGTTGCGAGTGTCCATTATTGGCTGTCTTATGCCATAAAAACGGCTATTGGCTCCTTTTCGCGCTTAACGGGAGCCATATTTTGTTGAGTAGATGTCGTATAGTGTACCTGCGCGTCGACGGCGGCGGCGAGGGTGTGCAGATGGCGCGCGGTGGCGGCGGGCGCGGCCAGCGCGCGCACCCAGCGCGCGCACCAGCGACCGCGCGCAGCAGTACAGCGCCGTGCGCGCCACGCCGCCGCACACCGACACCACCATGCAACGGGTTATTATCACCTGGGAATCAAATACTGTCTTAATATCAACTCCTTACAAAGTACACTTCCTACCAGAGATCTTTGAGCAATGTAAATTATTTTTAACTTTAATCTCATCTGGAACATGTGTGGAGTGGGCCCACTGTAAATCATTTCGCTGTAGCACCGATTATAACCACACCATTCACTATAATTATGGTGATCACCCCATTATACTCTTTATATTAAACTAGATCCAGATTTGCAGACACAAATATATTTTCTGAAGACACATTTCCGAACATGCAATTTTGTAATATTTACTTCTTATAACATTTGCCCTCTAAAAACTCACTCCGAACCAATACAAGAATACATTGAATCAAACAATCAAACTGTTGCATCGGTTTGAAATAGAATTTTAAAGTGAAGTTATCGATCGCATTGACCACGCGGGCATCGAACATGCACTGCTGAATTAATTACGAGGCCCGATAGCCTTTGAAACGAGAATAGGACGATTGTCATTAAAACTTCATTCAACCATTAGACTAGCTTAGGTAGGTAATCTATAACTTCACACTTTGTTATATTAAGCTACTGTAGGGATATGAGATTGCATAAGTCATATTTGGGATCAACAACTGTACCCTAACTGTAATGAAAGTTTTAATAAACAAATCCCTGCCTCATTGGCCGAGTAGTCGCAAGTGCGACTGCCGGGCAAGGGGTCTCGGGTTCGATTCCCGGGTCGGGCAAAGTATTACTGGGTTTGTAAAAACCTCAGTAGTAGCTCGGAGTCTGGAAAGGGCCCGGTATATGGCAATAGGCCCACCCCCTATTACATGGGACTCATAACATAAATAGAGAAAAGTGGGTGTTACATTGTACACAGTGGCATTAAGTGCCGTAATGTGCACCTCTGCCGACCCCTTCGGGGATAAAAGGCGTAATTTTATGCTATGTTATGTTAATAAACAAAGCCTTTAAAGGTAAAAACTATTTCAAAAACGCCTGAATACTGATAGGCTACTCAGTTTTAAGTTGTACTTAACTGCTTGAATGTACCGATATGATACACAATCTATATATATAAAAGAAAGTTGTGTTAGTTACACTACTTATAACTGAAGAACGGCTACATCGAATTGGATGAGAATTGGTGGGGAGATAGCTTAGAACCAGGAGACGGACATAGGATACTTTTTCATCGAATTTTTTTTTTTTACTTTTCGCCGAAAATCACGAACGGGAAGTTGAAAGAACGGGATTGCGCGTACGAAGTCGCGGGCTGAAGCTAGTAGAAAATATATTGCGTCTCGCGTGGATCCACGTTTAGACACACGACGGGTTAAATATCGTGACATCCCTGTCATTATACAAAGAATTTGTAGTGACAGAACTATAGTTCTGTAAAATTGAGTTGCGTTTCATTTTCCGGGCATCCTTATACTACGAGAGATGACGATCAAAACCATGTCTCATAGCAATACGGCAAAAACCCTATAAAATCGTTAGATTGTATGATTCTGAACCCGACTAGGTGTGTAGTAACGGTCGAAAGTGTAGCAACTGCGTGGGAGGCCATTTCTGCTGTGTCAAAAATATCTGAGTATCGAAAAGTTGTCTCATAGAGAAGGTGCTACACTTATTTTGTCTGATATACATTTTTTGCACATGTGGACAACTTATTTTATCATGTTCAAAAATTTTCAGACATATTGCCATGATACCTATCGATAAAATTTGTTAACATTTTCAAAACGGTCTCAATATTTAATGCGTTCACATTTCCGTCTGAAAATTGTTTTGTTCGCATCAAATAACCAAAATTTACTAATAAAAAAGGTTTTCAGACATATTGCTATGAGACTTTTTTTTGTCTGGTGTTTTTTGTGGTCAGATCAAACGCTACGCGGAAAATGTCTGATATTGGTATTTTCGAGTTCAGGATAATCGTATCTATCGATTTGAGGCGGTTTTGGCCGTGTTGCTATGAGACAAAAATGTTGGTCGTCATCTCTCTAACTATTACTAATATTATAAATCGGAAAGTGAGTTTGTTTGATTATTCCGCTTTCACGCCGTAACTACTAAACCGATTGCTTTGATTTTTTGCATATGTATAGTTAGAAGTCCGGATTAAATAATAGGGTACTTTTTATCCCGGAAAAATTTGATATTCCCGAGGGAAAACAAAAGTATTGGTATAGATGGGACTGTGTGTATTTTGGTATATACGTCACATTGGCTTTTTATCCTTTAGTGACGCGAGCGAAGCCGCGGGTAAAAGCTAGTAAGAAAATAAGTTTATGTTAGAAACAAATTGAAAAAAGATAGTGTAGCAATAAAAGTAATAAAGAGATGTTAGCTCATAACTATAAACAAAACAGAAGTAATAATCTTGGAAAGTTCTAATCTCATCGATTGAAAAACACCCTTGAGGTTTAACAGAATTCATTGTGTATAAATACAGTGATAAAAATGTATAAGTCAGTGTAAACTCAATAAATACCTGTGCAATCAATGTCGCAACATCTTTGGCGTTCTTCCATAGTTTCTTCTCTCGGGGCGATGTCTCGAGCCGGCTCTGCAGCCTCTCCACCAGCTGGTAGCCATTGCGGAGAGGCGTTTGTTTGGCCTATTACAATTAAGTTACGTTAATAACTGTCTTTCATTGTAACTATTCATTTCTTGGTCATAGAAAATGTAGAATTGGTGTGAAAGATTTTTTTTTATTTCTACTAGTAGAACTGATTGGCTGATCATTCAGGTAGTAATAGATAACAATTTAGCATGAAAAATTGGTAATGATTTACAAAAAAATAAATAAATGACAAGGTACTAAATGACTGCTTTGTTGGCCGAGTGGTCGCTAGTGCGACTCGGCCAACAAAGCACAGTCGTCGTCGGGTTCGATTCCCGGGTCGGGCAAAGTATTACTGGGTTTTTCATAATCGCAGTAGTAGCACGGGAGTCTGGAAATGTGCCAGTATATGGCAATAGTCTCACTTATTACATGGACTATAAATAGTGAAAAGTGGGTGGTACTAATGTGCACCTCTGCCTACCCCTATGGGGATAAAAAGGCGTGATGTTATGTTATGTATCAAATGAAAGTCTAGTCTAGTCCATAGAAAGCAGTTACCGTAGCCAATTAGTAATACCACGGCCTCACAGAAAACCGACGTGAAACAACGCTTGCGTTGTGCTTTGTCGTGTGAGTGAGGTTACCGGAGGCTCAATTACACCCACCCCAATCTCTGAATCCTCAACAATCCTAATCCTCAAAAGGCCTGTAACGCAGTTGTCAACGCCTCTGGTGTTCCAGATATCTATGAGCAACGCAGATTGCTTACCATCAGGTGAACCGTCTGCTAGTTTACCGTATTATGAAAGTAAAAAAAACATGTCTGCAACACCACAAGCTTCACTCCAGCTTTAGGTACCGATCCTATTTTCTTAAACTTCTTTTAACCCATTTCTTACTAAGTTTTACATAAACTACTCTGTAATAAAGTATTACTAGGTTTTTTTTAAATATTCTCAGTAGTAGCACGGAGTCTGGAATTGTGCCCGGTATATAGCAATAGGCTCACCACCTATTACATGGGACTCATAACATAAATAGTGAAAAGTGGGTGTTGCATTGTATAGTGGTATAATGTACACCTCTGCCTACCACTTCGGGGATAAAAGACGTGATGTTATTTATGATGTTTTTCATAAACTTAGTACTCACCAGTTCGATACAATGCGATCGTTTGTCTCCTTTATAGAGGAGTACAAACTCCATGTCAACAAGCAGTTCCAACACATCCACTGTGAACCCCGCCTCCGCCTTCAGGATATCTTCGAACGTCTTCTTTGAGTCCGACTTATCTGATGGATAAAAAAACAAAGTTTCAAAAATTAAAAGAATAAAACGATTAGTCAGTACAAAGTCAGTATTTTCCGTCAAATAATTGGATTGGGAAGTAAAAATTTCAATAAAGGCCATTGGGAAGTTCATGAATGCTTTGTTTAAAACTTGAATTTTTCCTACTTGTTACTATTTATGTTGTCAAATGCGCCTTTCCTTTATTTCCTCTCACAGTGGTCTGTGTTCACTATTCAAGTGGCCTAAGTCCAGTAACACAAACTGCTGATGATGATGTTTCAGTTTCACACTCACCCTTATGATCGGCGATGCCATCAGCTTCAGTGTCGGAGGTGGGCGGAGCGCAGGCGCGGACCCGGTCGAGGACGGCGGAGCACAGCGCCAGCGCCAAGTCGTCGCACTTGGACGCCGCCAGCTGACGCAACCGCGTCACGAACATCACGCCGCGCTCTTCCTTCAGCCATGCTAGTACTGGAACAATACGTAGGTATAATGTTATGATATGGTCAGTTTCAAGAAAATGGGAGCTGGGTTGCATATGGATTACATGGCTGGCTGTCCCATGTCAAAACCTGGAACCGATACTCGCCACATAGGCAAGTGGTCCACTTACAACAAAGGGATCCACTAAAAAAATAGCATTAAGAGAACCTTAGTTCTCACATTTGTAACGCCGTTACAAATTTCCACGAATACAAAAAATCCCACATATGATTCCTACTGAAGCGAAAACTTATGGAGAATATATTTAATCTATTTAGGTTAGGAATATCTCTTCTACTACGGATCTTACCTTCCTCATTCGAAGGTGGTTCTCCCCTGGGATCCAGCAGCACCCTAAGGACAGGGTGCCCCCAGGGGTTGCTGAGGATCTGTTTGAAAAACTGGGCTCTCGCCACCAGCTGTACTTCCCAGGCTGGTGGAACTGCATCCTTGCTCGTCCGACCCCCACACTCCTGGATAAACGCGTTGATGGCATCCTCAAGCCTTTTGTGTTGATCCTTGATCTTTGGGGACTGCCATTCTGTCTGTTGGTAGAATTATTTTATGAATGATAGGTTTTCGACTTCATTCAAAAACCATATTTTGATTACAAATTAAGACTTTAAAATAAATCACTAATACTTTAAGATTTAAATGCATATTCAGATTAATAATTCCCTATAACTTTTTACACACAGCAGAACATAATTATGTAACAATGACATCTGTATTTCAACTCCTAAACTGTCTAAGTGTAAATACTAAAACTTCAATACTAATGTTATTTCTTCCACATTCATCAATTTGTGTATTTGCTCAGTTTCCAACATTTCAGTAATGATTGTTATAGTTATTCATCACCTCTGTTTAAAACATATTTATTTATTTATCATTTCATATACACCATGCATCAGACAATATTATAATGGACAACATGTAACAAGCATGAGGTACATAGTTTATTAGTCTTAAACTTTGTCATAAACAAGATAAATCACTTTGACTAGATTTTAGTGTTACATTGTTCTTGCACAATTCAAACAGCAAACTATGTAACTAGAGAATTGTATTGTGAACCGATTGAGAAAGAGTAACCTATGGAGTTTCTTGCTCGTTCTTCTCCATAGGAATCTACACCTTGGAATGAGCAAATAGCTTCACTTTTAATTTTATTGTTGACGTTCAAAAGTTTGACATTTTTTATTAATCAGTCATTTACCTGCAACACAGTCTTAGCAGTGTGCCTCTGCAGCCAGGTCAGCAAGTGTGGGTGTGTGGTGGAAGCCGAGTGCTGACAGAGACTGTGAATGCGTCGCCACGCTTCGCACAAGTGTTGCGTACGATCGCGAAGCGCACAGTCGCTGTTCAGACCGGCTTCGAGCGCCTGATAAACAAAAAAAAATAGGTTTAAAAACTAACGAATATTAGTACATTTTTTAGACTTATCTCTCTTTATCTTAAATATAAAATAAAGGTAAAATCTTAAATATAAAGTTAGATTTGATTTTTTTTAGTAATAACTCTATGTAACAACATCTACAGTCATCACCACAAAACATCTAAATATACTTAAAGTGATAATTTCTGTAAAACATCAAGTAGAATAAACCTTTTTTATTCATACAATTCAGCAAACATAACAATAATAATAGTAAACAGTTTGTCAAAGATATTCTCTTATCTTTCTACATTACATAAGCATAATTACTTCATCACATTATCACGAATTTATAATTAACTTTAAAGGACCAAGAAGTGTCACTTAAACTTAGATATCAGTATAATTGCTTTGTAAGTTGTTAACAAGCTCTCTTAAGATAACATTTCAACGTGTCAGGGAAGTCATTTGATAACATAACACAGTACAATCATATTCAAACAATAAATCGGTTCATTGAAGTTAAATATAATATCAATAATAATAATAACTTTATTCACCAAATAAATGAAGTTACACAGTTTGAAACATATAAGCCAGTAACAGGTTTCATATATGTATACAGTTATTATGTCTTTCCTGTAGCTTCTGTTGCTGAACTAGGTGTATTTCAGCTATCACTGCCTCATTGGCCAAGTGGTCGTAAGTGCGACTGCCGGGCAAGAAGTCTCGGGTTCAATTTCCGGGTCGGGCAAAGTATTACTGGGTTTATAAAAACCTCAGTAGTAGCACGGAGTCTGGAAATGCGCCCGGTATATGGCAATAAACCCCTATAACATGGGACTCATAACATAAATAGTGAAAAGTGGGTGTTATATTGTACAGTGGCAATAAGTGCCGTAATGTGCACCTCAGTGTCTCTAATAAATCAATACAAAAGACGAGCTTTTATTTAAAACAATTGAGGGTTTGTTGGTAATTTATTGACTGCTACTGATATTTTAACGCATTTTCGGTGTTTTATCATCAAATTATGAGATTTGTCATTTCAATCTCAAGTAATGTGTTCTAATCAATACAAATCGGTAAAGATCAGATCATGACTAAGTTAACAGTCAGATATTGTGACATGATCATCGTAATGTTCATACCATAACATCTCGAAACATAGCATAGCGTCACGTCTTTATTCCTGAAAGAGTTAGGCCGCTGCCTGCACTTTTTGCACATAAGAGTATGCTGTAAACTATAACACCAAGTTTTTACTAGATTACAGATAAGCCAAAAGGATATCACAAGTTAAGTTCCGAGACCCGCGCCGCGTAACTAATGGAATAAACTCAATTTGATATTCGCATCAAATTGACAACACAAATTCAACAAATAACTTTTAATCTCAAGCATTTTTACTGATTGTATTTTGATAAATAATAATATTAGATTAGATTTTATTGATGGAAACTAATGTTACGCCCAAACAGTGAAGTTTTTATAATCTGTTTTCAATGTGATCAGTCATCAATTACTGCAGCCATTACTCATGTGCAAGTTTCTTTAACATAACATAACACCACGCCTTTTATCCCCGAAGGGGTAGGCAGAGGTGCACATTACGGCACTAAGGCCACCGTACAATGTAACACCCACATTTCACTAGATTCCGTGCTACTACTAAAAAATTTAAAAAAAACAAGTAATACTTTACCCAACCCTTGAATCGGACCCGAGACCCCCTTGTCCAGCAAGTCACACTTGCGACCACTCTGCCAACGAGGCAGTCTTTGTTTGTCTCAAAAATTTTCTTTGTTTGGATGTTTGTCCGTCAACCACGCTTAAACTACTGAACGGATTTTGATGAACATTGTGTTTAATTCCGATTAAATCTTCCCATGGGATAAAAGAAGAATACAAAGTCGCGAGTAAAAGCTAGTTTCATAATATTATTATGTAGTGATAAATAGGAAAACATTCATTGAATTTTATTTATAGGTATACCTAAGAAACTAAGCAGCGACGAACGTCTTTGCCGACTCAAAAACCACTTTAATCGCGAATAGTAAACTGAACATTCAACATCATCAAGAGCGCATGACAGTCTACTACTAGAGTATGAGTCCTTTACATGAACTCTCATGGTTTGCATGTACACCGGACTTCACAGACGTGTTGGAGATCGGTGTATTGTTCCTTCTGTCGAATCTGACGAAGTGACGACACCCGCAGAAAGAGAAGAGACGGTGACAAATGTAATCTACTTTACCGTTGCCACACATCATAAAATGAAGTAAAGATTACATAAATAGGATAACTGCAATAATGCTATGCCCAACCCGGAAAGCAAAATCAGTCTTTGAGTACCGTCATTATAGACACAATTAAAGAACAATAGGTTGCGGTCACCGGTGTCCTCGCGGTGTTTGACAGTTTAACAGTTGAAATTTGCAAAGTTGCATTGAAACTACCTAACTAAATAGTGCTAATCGATTAATGGACGAATAAAATTAACGACTGTCTGCAACGATCGAAACAAATCAAATATTTAAATGGATACCACAAACAATGCAGCCAAAACCAAATAACAATTAGCATAATTTTAATTTAGCATTGTATTGTCAATCTCCTGTTTAATAAAACAACACCTTTCTATTAATTGTATTTTGTTTTCGAATATGATGTGATTTTGAATCGAGTAGTTTAATTACACCCGTATAATCCCCAAGCGGTCACCAGTGACCGCTTTCCACTAACTACATTATAGAAGGTCTATCCAATGTTTAACCTTTTGAGCGCCAGGGTCACAAATACGTGACAAGCGAAAACTGTCCCTGAGCGCCAACGACACAAATATGTGACAAAAACAGCGGTACATTAAAACACGAAATAAACTATTTAAACATTACTTTAATGCCTATTTATTTATATACCTGTAAAATAGAAGGTCCAAAATTTATTTATTTCCATAAAACTAATTAAATTGCATTATAAATATTGAGAAATTTTACGTTAAAAAGAAAGAAATAAACTCTGAAAAAAGAATGTCCTCACACGCCAGAGTCATAAATGCGTGACCGCTAGTGATGTAGCGCATGTTGGATAATATCATTATTTTAAATCAAAGATCGATGCGAAACTTTCCTCTGGAATATATTATTTTAGGTATAATTTGGTACTAGGATAAAGCAGCATTAATTTTATAAAACCAGTCTTAAAAATCATTCAATAAGCTACATAGTCAAAAATAAAATTTGGTTGGGTCGAATTTCGATATTCACTAATCCCAACTCGAGCGCATCCCTAACGCAACCCGAATTATCAGTACCCTGTACGCCATGGTCACGACTAGACGACAATATCGTGACGTCACAAGCGCGGCGACCAGAAATTAGTGAAGTGAATGAATAATATTTATGATTAATTTACTTGTGATATCGAGTTCAGAGTTCAGAATGCAGGTTGCATTGTAGATTTTGTATAATTTTGCTCTATTATTCAAAAGATTTATTAGTATAAGACTGATTGGTAATTGTGATAATTATATATAATCGTTAATTGTTTTAATTTGTTACTTTTTATGCCAGGTTTATAGAACTTAATATTTAAAAACATGTATACATAGTACATACTGTATAACATTTTATTAAAATTTTCTATTTTTTCATAGTTTTTATTTACCTTCTTAACCTATTTCAATCATATATTTTTAAGTACCTGTTACATTCGGAATTATAAATCTGATTTAAAAAACGTGTTTCATTTATTATAAAATAATATTGTACTAGAACATCGATAAACGAGATATTACGTTGCCACATCCTTATTTCGGAAGCGAAGTAGTTATTAAAATGGCGGGCCGTCCACGCCATGGTCACAATATGAAGACAGCAGTGTTGTACCTACAGTTATTATATTTAAATATATTGTAGTCTCATATCTGTTATTACGGTATTATACAAGTCTGTAAATAGTGTATAACTATTACTTTAATAGGAAGAAATGTAATGTTGAATTAAATTTCAATGTTATAAGGACATTATATTTCGAAATTAAAGACGAACATGAAAATAAAATTGATTATCGATGAAGTTTTGGAATCCCTATTTTTTTCGTAGGTATTTGCGGTGAATTTGTGGCCTGGCGTTGAGGGCAAGTTCATGCGTTTTTGCTCTGGCGTTCAAAAGGTTAAAGACTTTTGTAGGAACAAATTTGGTGGATGATTCAATAATTTTCAACGGGTTAAGGAGTAACATAGGCTACTTTTCCATCCGATATGACTACAGGATCGAGACTTAGGTACTGGGAAGAAATTCGTGCAGGTTAAGCATGTGAATGTTACCTAACTATAAAGCAGAAGCTAAAGATATGTTTGGTTGAATGTACTAATTTCTGGAACTACGAAATTTCGAGTACTTGTCAATTTATCGAGAAGGGTTATAGCAACCGAGCAGCGGGTGCAACAACGCTACAAAGCTGCAGTAAAACTCGGTTGTCATGAACATATTGGTTCTACTTTCAAATTCTCAGTACTGAGTTTCGATTGAATATAGCTACCAATATTTTAATAAACGTCGACTAATTCTTTTCTTAACAAATTACATAATTTAAATTCTTATTACATACCTATTTGCTACTATATTTTATTTATTATTATACAACAGTAATAAAGGCACAGATAAGTAAGGTCCTAAGTCAAGTGTATGGAATCTGAATGAGTCATCTGTTCGTATAAGTTATAAGAATGTGTATGGCTTCCAACTTGATCCTATAGTTCATGTTACTTTTGTTTATTTTTATAGTGTCAATAATGTTTTAAAGAGTTACTGGATGCAGGTTGCTGGAGGCTGGAGTGGCTGGAGGTGTATATTCAGCTGTCGACATATTCTAACTATTATTATGGTGCTAATGATCATAAAAACAATTAGACACTGACAAACGGTGAAAGAAAACATCGTGAGGAAACCTGGGCTTATAATTTGTAATTATAAGATTGAGAGCGCCAATCGGCATTGAGAAAGCGTGGTGATTATAACTCGCTTCAACCTTCTTTGTCTTAAGACATCTAGTCAGCAGTGGCCACTTATAGGCTATTGATGTGTGATGTGGTCATAAAAGGTAAAGGAATTGATTATTTGTATGCACTGAAAAGACTGAAACTACTAGACAAATTAAAAAAAATTTAACTAATGGAGTTCACATTTTAGGAAGTCACAACAAAAAGCATACTCAAGATAAATCCTTTTAAAACGCTGACGACACAGCAAACGGAACTATTGTCACAAATCATTTAGTCTTATTGTTTTGTTGTGATACGAAAAAAATATCATTTTACTCATTGTTAAACTCTAAACACAAAACAACAAGTTAACTTTTTATGTACACACTCAAATCCCATTAAAAGACTGATGACTGTTGATGAAGCTAAAGAGGTGTTCCACAGTCACTGCTTACCCCCATGGGGGCTGTGAGGTTATGTATTGTATTAAAATCACAATAATATGAAACAATGCCATAGTATAGTCCGTTTTAAATACCTACTGTATAACATTCAGGACGACATAATTTTTAACAACAAAATAGGTCATGTGATATTGCATACCATATGTGTAAAATATGTAAACATAGCGTTCTATTTTTTTGCAACTACAAAATAAATACAAGTACAATGATTGTGTAAGAACACCGGTGCGTAATTCATAATATACATGCTGTAGACAATTAAACAAACAACAGTATTCTATAGTTTCCACTGAATTTCATAAATCAATAAATATGTGTAAATATAAACAGAAATACTATACTTTTGCTATTGACTAAACACACTACTCTTTTACATCATGAAACAGTAATAAATTCTTCAAAACACACACATAACATCACGCCTTTTATCCCCGAAGGGATAGGCAGAGATACACCTCTATTAAGTACTGTAATGTACACATTACGGTACTTCATGCCACTGTACAATGTAACACCCACTTGTCACTATTTACGTTATGAGTCCCATGTAATAGGGGGCACAATTCCAGACTCCGTGCTACTACTGAGAAATAAAAAAAATACCAGTAATAGTTCGTCCGACCCGGGAATCGAACCTGAAACCCCTTGCACGGCAGTCGCACTTGCGACCACATGGCCAACGAGGCATTCATTCTTCAAAACACATTATTCATACTAAACTAATGAATATAACCTCATCTTATTTAACTAAAAGCATACATAAACTCCATTAGGAACTTAACTGTAACATTCAGAATATAACTACACGATCTCAACAGTAACCTAAGCTTCAGTATCAAAGTTCAGATAGTTCAACCCAAGTTCAATGACCTGTCCTTTCCCTTTCATACAACAAAATAGTGTTTGGAGAAAATCCATCGGACTGTGAAATTCTGTAAAGAAAATGTAACACTAATGGAACTTGTTTTGTGTATGAAATGTTTTATTAGATGGTATATTATATTCTTTTTTGTATATGGACTGTGTATTTTTTTAATTATTTATTTTCTAAAATTCGTATTTGCGCCACTTTTGTCGTACGTTTGTGTATGTGTTTCGTAATAGTTGACAATAATTATGTTAATTACGATAGTTAGACTATATGAGGCAGTGATTAATAAACTTAAATATTTATGTCTTGTATGATTTTATGAGTCAAAAATTGTTATTGATTCAGTATGGTCACCTAAGTGAACTCAGTACTCTAAACTAGCTAAAAATTACTATCACTACCTAGTATTTAAAACAAAGAAGCTATCCGCCGTCTGTCTGTCCCTATGTATGCTTAGATCTTTAAAAATACGCAACGGATTTTGATACGGTATTTGTAATTATATTTTTTTTAAGAGGGGAAGATCATCGAATGACTTATCCCGCCTGGGTGAGGCGGGAGGGAGTGTCAGACTTTTACTGACTAATAACCACCCTGTTCCTTATCCTGCACGTCGAGACGGAGCTCCGGTAAGCCGTTAGGTTTACTTTAGGAATTTTTTATTAGTGTTTTTTAAGGAAGATTTATATGTATGTATGATACATGCATATTGCACCCGTGCGAAGCCGGGGCGGGTGGCGGGTCGCTAGTATAATATTAAAATTGACTAAAATTATAAGATTGATTGTAAGAATATATTACTATCACATAGCTCCCATATTAATATGATGTCTGTTTAATTTCCACACATGTGTAAACTATGTCAGATATCAATAATTAACTAACTAGCTGTTGCCTGCGACTTCATCGGCATAGAATATGGTTCCTGTTTTATCCCATAGGAGCATTTAATCAGGATAAAAAGTAGCCTATCATCTAAGTCACCGTATACCCTGTCTGTATACAAAATTTCATCAAAATCCATTCAGTAGTTTCAGCATGATTGACGGACAAAATCCAAACAAAGAAACTTTCACAATTAAATATTAATGTTATATTTAATGACAAACTTATTTGAACTATAAACTTTATGATCAAATTTATGATCAAAGCAGAATTGTTCTACAGTAGAATTCCAATTCTTTAAACCCTAGTTTTTCATAAATGAAGAAAAACAAACCACAGTTACTCAACAACTTTTATTGAGTGCTAACGCTATTTATTATTATCATAACTTAGATATGACTCACAAGAATCTGCTTACAAAAACATTAAGTAACACTGCTATCATTATCACCCAACTGATAAGGAATTTGGCTTACATCCATTGATATTTGTTTTGCCAATTTATAGAAAATAAACTTCAGACTGTATCTTACTGTTATTATGGTTGTTTTTGGTATGACACAGGAGCAATATGAATTAGTGTAATTTTGTGGTTGTCGGGATTCTTACCAAAGATTATGGGTTGGGACAATGATGTATCGGAATATAAGAAGGTCAGCAATGACATTTTTTTATATTATACTAGCGGTCTGCAACATCATTTGCGTTTTTCTAAAATAAAAGTAGCCTGTGCTACTTCTTATTACAGCTACCTGCTAATTAAAATCCTGTCAAAATCGGTTCAACCATTCCAGAGATTAGCCAGTACAAATAGACAAAATTTGGAAAAGTGTATTAATTTGCTGTTTCATAATTATGTATATTCATATGCATGTAGTAAATAGCAGTACAGACACTTCAATTTTATATATTAATACATAGGTCAAGCACAGCTAAACCGATACATTGTCTTATTTCTTACACGAGTTTAACCTATTTCCGAGGGATATTAACTCGGGACTAATTTAAGTTAAAAGAAATGTATAGTATGCTAAATACTATTTCAATTTTCTTTAACTGCTAAAACTATTGTTGTTATGCAAATTTCAATGATTTAAATTTGTTTGCAATTCTTAACGATCTCTTATTGACGACTCACACAAATAATATTTAATTTGTATGGACTAACATGTGATTAGTTATTCTTGTGCTGATTTCTTATTTAGTTTGATTTATTGTGATCTTATGATGAAGGCGAGTGGAATACATGAAAAACTAGTCTTCTAAACAGCTGATGGGTCAAGCTCACATGCACACGGAAATAGATCTGCCATATTTATTTACTAAAATAAATATTGCTGGGGACCTACGTGACTCCTGTGTGTTATGATATGGCTGTCCGTCATCGAAGTACCTAGTGATGACTACAAAGTACATAATTAATTATTGACATCTTATAGTATCAAGACAAAACTTATGTCTATGAGAGAAAACATGATTTTTGTAAATAAATAAACATTATTATCACTTATTTTACGAGATAAATTATATACCATCAAAATCAACTACCATTTTCACAATACATACACTTGAAACATCTATAGAAACCAACCATTTCATAGCCTTGGTACCGCTCGAATATTGTAACGAATATATTCTTCTCGCACTACATTGTATATTTCATCAGAAATAAGGAACAGAACACCGAAATATACGAAAACAAGAGTTAACAGAAGACAAATATGGCGGCCACTGTGAACTTCACTAGCACAACGGCGTCTGATTCTGTACGGTAATCTTGATGATTATAAGAATAAAACTCACCTTGTAAAGTTCAATGTAATATGTTTTGCCTTTTGGGCCACTTGTTTGATTACTTTTCACGTCTTTCCCATCATTTGTAGAAGTCATTTCTTACGAAAATATCGCGGGGAGACATTTATGCGCTTGTGTTTTCGTAATTGTACTGTCAAAGTCAGTGTTACTATAGAAAAATAAGGCAAGTACATAAAATGTGACAAATATACTAGTAACACTGGAAGTATGTTTCAAAAAGTTTGTTTTCTTTAGCTGCCACGTGCTTTCACAAGTAAAGCCTACCATACACTATCAAAGCGTGTTCTCTTTACTAATGATATTTAACGTTTAATTTTTGGGTAATTGTTATTTTCTTATCGTATCGAAGAGTACAATAAGGTACAGTAAGGTAGTGTAGGGGATCTGTATGCGTCTGTTGACCTCCCACGACTAACGTGACCAGACGTACTTACCATAAGTAAGTAAAATTTTCTTGTTAAAAAAGCCCCCCCCTTTTTAACAAGAAAATTTTATTATGGGTCATTTTTTTAGTCACTACATGTCGTAAATGTAAATGTAGCAAGAGTTTCTATTATCCAATCACTGCATGGAATATTAAATTGTTGATTTGAGCACAGATATTTATTTCTATAAAAACTTAAATAAAATGAATACTAACTATTACTAAATTAAATATATACTTATACAACAGATAAAATTTCACAACTTCAGATAAAATTAATGAAAATAAAACTAAAAACAACTATTTTTATTCACATGTTAAATTATTGCAACGTTGTTAATAAAATTGTTTTTAAAAATCACTGCAACTGTCAAATATTCAAAGTTAAATGGAGTATCTAACTACTACTAGTACTTAATTTTGAATTAGACGAAGACAGGTACAGACTAGCGCCACCTAATGACCAAAAATACGGTACCACCCTTTGGTTCTAACTATTTACCTAACACTCCTTTCAAATACTTTTTTCTAATCTGAATGCCACTTGTTACCCTTTTTTTATGAGATAAGCCGGCCAACGAGCAGACCAGACATATTACGTGATGACAAGCAATCGGCGCCGGTCAGAGACACCCGCAACACCAAGGATGTTGAAAAGATAATCTTTGCGCAATACCAACAAGTGTGGTATCGGTCTTTTAGATTTGAGGATTGAGATGTGGGTAGTATGGGGAGTATAGGGCCTCCAATAACCTCACAACGTAATCGTTGTTCAACGACGGTTATTTTTATGGAAATAGCTAGTAAATGAGCAGATAGATCACCTGACGGAAAGCAACACGGGCCTCCGGTAACCTCACCCACACAACGAAATACAACGTAAGTATTGTTTCAAAAAGCTTTACATAGAGAAGAGTGGAAGGAGGGTAGGAAGGCCTTTGCCCTGCAGTGGGACGGTCATGGCTGAAAATAAGTAAATAAATAAATAAATAATTGTTTCACGTCAGTCTGTCGTCTGTGAGGCTGTGACATCACTCCATACTTATTATACTCTTTGTCACTCCGGTCGAGCCGGTCTATTCGTGCCGAACCATGCCTCTCCCACACTTGGTTTTCTATAAGGCTGGGGTTCACTTTGATCGAATAAATCCATTCAAAGGGGGACCCAGTCGTGTTCGTGCCATGGTGCCAAAGCATTGCTTTCCCACACTCGAAACCGCTTTCTTGTGTTCATACACTTGAATTTTAGCCTGCTTGGGTGAGTGGATAAAATTAACGCTATGCTATATTGAGTTGGTTTGAAATAAAATAAATAAATTATAAAACACTATTATTTTGATTTGATTTTATGTGACTTTGTGTGAATAATTTGAAAGTGTCTATGAAAAGAGTTGCGATACTCTATGGCAATAAAATATTTTTTGAGGTTGGCAGTTTTGTAGTACAAAGCAAAGCGAGTTGTGTCAAGAATTACTGCGTTTTTTACGAAAAATAATCTCAAATTACAGTAGGAAAATGTAGAATTAATTGTTCACGTAAAGCTAATTATATATGAAATAAATTCATTGATCATATTTCCAGTTATCATCGTTATCTTAGACGTCTTCGCTAATAAAAATTGATGTGTCAAAGTGCACGGGAATAGAAGGGACGATAAATTATCACTTTTTAAGCTTAATTAGACAGTGTATTATATTTTACCAGCGTTATTTTGCAATCATAAGGTACAATGAAGTGTAATTGAAGGATTTTGGAGACAAGGGTGGAATAGGGCGTGTGATCCGACTTGGCACATCTGGCGAAGTGGCGACCCTTTATTACAATTTCTCTTCCTTCTCATTAATTGGCGGATTATTTATTGTTGACCCAATATTCTAGACCTGCACATGCTATATTTTGAAACGAAAACTTCATGCCTTGAGATTATTTTGCGTACCACGTATCTTTTTATTATTGCTTATCCAAAAAATGTTAATGTAACATAGTGTATTAATTTTCAGTGATTTTTAAACATTAGATGTACATATTAATTAGTTGTGTGTTTATAAGCGAACAGTCTGCTTAGTGTTGTGATGTGTGTATCAAGTGATTATAATATTTTAACATATTGTGAACCTATTGAGTGATAAAATTAATAAAATGGCTAAGAAATCGGATAATACCGGCGGTAAGCTGGTCACAGTTTCTGTCGTTGGACTTTCTGGTAAGAATCATATGTATTTATATTAATTATGAAATGAAAAAAATACATTATGCTTTCAGGTGTTCCTATCCTTGTTTTATACATTCATCATTTATTTTTTATGTACCATATACCTAGTTAATATTTATCTAATAAAGGCAGTATCTCTGTAGTTATAATGTGACTTCTCTCCACAAACCCCTACTGGGTTTAAGGTATCGAAACACAAAGTAAATTTTATCTACAAACAGCCTTATGGTGATCCAGTAACACAATAACTATTTTGTACTCAAAAACATAAACTGCTAGTATTACTAGTACTAGTACATGTGGAATCACATAGTTAATATTCCATCTACAGGCCTTTTCTCTGAATGTTACCTTTTCCTCACCACCAGGTGAGATAGTAACCAAACCACCCATAAAATATATGAAAAAAGTAAACTATCTAAATGCCTGCAGCCTGGTCTTGGTCCAACGCCCAACCAAGAGTGTCTCGTATGTTTCCAATAATCCAATTAGATTTAAGTTAATTTAATAAATGAATAATGTTTCTATGGTCATATTGTCTGTTATTGTTAGGTTAGATGACACATATTTTGATCCATTTTAAATGGAAAATATGTCAAATGATCTATCATATAGATGCACCATACAGTATACCTACATACCAACAAGCCTGTCTCCCATTGGTATAGGCAGAGACAATGGAATGCTAAATAACATGATGCTGGCATACCTATCCTATATGTTTTTGTTGAGTTAGGGCCTGTTTCACTAAGTCCGAAAAGCATGAATTTGATAACATCACAAACATAATTTGGAATATTTGGATTAACTATCTGCAATATAAATTTATATCAGGGACTTATAGGAGGTTTGTGACAGGCTCTAGACTATAGGCAACCTGGAACTGACCCTTAGTAGTTAGTTTCAATGGTTTAGCTATTATTACATCATCATTGCTTGTTTATTTATGTTTATTGCTAGACATCTGCTTTCTGATAACTAACAGCTGCTGTTAACATTTGTGTTAATAATGCCTCTCTTTAGTTAGATATTGAATAGAAATATGTAGAATACAATACAAAAGTATAAACTACACACTATAGTAAGTACTAAGGTACTCAAACACAATCTCTTACAGGCAACCTTTGTATGCACAAGCCAGAGATGGCGAACCTTTACTTATCAACATGCCATATTTGTAAAAAATGGTTTTTAAGGTCCTACATGTGCCATCAAAATTAACTCGTTGAGTACCGTCATTATAGACACAATTATAGAACAATAGGTTGCGGTCACTGGTGACCGCTTGGTGTTTGACAGATAAAATTAAGTAACCATTTTTATCATCAATGATAGGTATATAGATCTGAAAAAAAAATGACAGGGCAGATTTTGTGATCAGTAACATGCTCAATATATTGTTTTGGGTGCCATCATTGGCATAGGCAGCACGGAACAGATAAAAAAATAACCTTGATACTAAAAAATAAAAGGAACTATTGCAGTTAGCGAAAATATTATCTTTAGTTACCCAGTTTCTATAAAATTAGCCTTACTTAGTACTTAATAGTCTAATATAAATAATTAAATAAATTAAGACAAGACTTTCATTAAAAGATTTCATAATGAAAATTCTTACATAAATAATGATTGGTTAAATAATTATGTTAAATAATGACACATTTATACAAGAATGTTATTTTAAATAATTTGTTAATAACTTTCGCTTTGTTATTACATAGTTTTAGAATTCCATGACAGCTACAAATTCTGCAACCTTAACTATGCTAATATACTTCACATTTTTGGAATTCCACACAACTTGCATCAAAATTAACCTTGAAGAAGATCATTATTATCTTATCTATTTGCTGGAGATGTTGTTTGTTTACACACACTAATCTCTGTAATGAAGGAGTCATGCTTTTTTAAATGTCTTGTGTGAAGTAGGTGCTATATTGAGGAAGGTGAAATACTGAGTAATGTTTTTAAACATAATATAATTTTACGCCTTTTATTCTCGAAGGGGTAGGCAAAGGTGCACATTACGGAACTTAATGCTATTGTACAATGTAACACCAACTTGTCACTACATAACATAAGCCTATTGCTATATACTGGGCACATTTCCAGACAACATGCTACTACTGAGATATTAAAAAAAAAAACAGTAATACTTTGTCCGACCCGGGAAGCGAACCTGAGAACCCCTGCCCGGCAGTCGCGCTTGCGATCACTCGGCCAATGAGGCAGTTTTAATAAATTCCTTTAATGTTAAGTATGAGAACTGGAGTTATTTTACAGTAATCTACGACATTGTCTTAAATTTGATTAGATCTATTGTATTTTCTAGAGGATCAACATAGCCACTCACAGTTGATTTATAAATTTCTTTTCTAATTACTAAACCGTATAAAGAATCTCATTATAATCAACTATCTATCTAAGCATTCAATTCTTAATTTACTTAGACTAGAAAATTTCTGATGCTCGGAAAGTACTTGTTGAACCCATCTTCCACTAATAAGACATAATTTCAACAATATTATGTACATATGTTCTAAAGTTTATTATTAACTTTATCAAGACAAGTGGGAGAGCAAGATAAATATAAGTACTTCTATCTATAGTAAGTAGGTAGTAATTTACATATAAACATTATATTATCATTTTGTATGTTATTATGACAGGTGGTCTATCTTATCTTTTGTCTGTTATGTTATGTATTTACATTGCAGATACTCAAACAGATAAAGTTTGGAGTTATGAATGAATATGTTCAAATTAATGAACATAATGGGACAATAATACAACTGGTTTTTCTCTTAACTTTTCATCTCTATTTTGATTAAGGAGTTTGGTCGTTCTTTTTTTTTTTAAACCATTGCCTCACACTAGTATTGTCTCCTGTTTCGTGGGTGTGTTAACAAACATACATGTTCACATACATATTACATCCAGAAGTTTTTTTAACGGGGTAAAATCATCGAATGGCTGCTCCCGCCTGGGTGAGGCGGGAGGGAGTGTCAGACTCTTACTGACTATAAACTACCCCGTTCCTTCTCCTGCACATCGAGCCGGAGCCCCGGTTACCCGTTAGGTTTTCCGCGACTACACCCAGACCTAAAACAACAATTTGTGGATAACACAAAGTTGCTCCGTGCGGGAATAGAACCCGCTACATATTGCGCGGCAGCCGGCTGCCCAGCCATCGCATCAACCGTGCAGTCAGTTATTGTATTAGGTATACGAGAACTAAGATTTTAACCACTCTTCACCTACAGGATTCAAGTTCAGGAATCACGATTAAGGAAAACATTTTGTGCTAGTTCTAACTGTGATAACTTTCAGTCATTTTGTGTTTGTACAATGTGCGTACTGAAAATGTTCAAATCGAAATATACTTACCTAAATAGATTAACCCAACTAGTCGATCCAACCCAATATTCGGCTCGCGAAGGACACTCCGGGCGTCGCGTCGGGGATCGCGGGACGATCTCCGGCCACCGTGAGGACGTCGAGCATGGGTGGCTCGCCGCCCGACCAGGATGCTTACTCTTAAAACCAATCTCAATGTCAATGCAATTTCAATCCAATAAAATCTCAATAATTATTCAATATCAACACTACAACCACAATCGTAGCTGTTGAGTACGGAATATAAAGCCAAACTCAATACTATTTAGTTTATTCAATATCCACGGAATATGGGTGCAATGGGCGCTAGTGTTGCAACTCACGAGTACGATATTTCACAATACCAATGTCGATCGATCGGAATTGTATTCAAGAGTAAGCCCCCCTGAACCAGACCCGAGCGTACGGGTCTCAAAGAGCCATCAGACCACCACTGATGGGGCCTATAAATAGGGCTGATGCCGATACGAAGCCGCGGAGGAATTACGAGTTGTTAGGAGTAAGAAGTTTGCCGAGTCAGCTAGTATTAAATAAATATACACACAGGAATATTAGGCAAAAATAGCATAAAGTGTAGAGCTCAGAGGCATGTTATTAGAGAGCCCTATGAATGATGTCAGCTAGATAAGTAGATAGTGGGCGGATAATGTTGACAATTCAAAATTTCTTTGCGAAAGTCGCGCTTGCAGCCACTCGCCTTACCGAGGTAAACATAGTTAACCAACTTTTTTGTCCCACATAATGACTGACCCTAGAATGTCAAGACCTTACGTAAGTAATGACATTTTACTTATTTACCACGTAACAGTATTTAATGCTAATAAACATTACAATGAATCAATTGACCTAAAAAAACATAAAAGTCATCCTGTACCTACCCTTATTCGATTTCTAGTTAGTGTCATTTCTTGAGATAATACAATTAAGGATAAATTACACGAACTACTTATAATATTCAGCACTAATTTATTATTTTCTTTTCAAAGCCTTTCTTCAAATAAGTAATTACTTATGTAGAATTCTACGTCAATAGTCAATTCGCAGAATGATAGTGACTTCTAGATGAAGGGATTCAGAATGGTCGCGCTAGTACAGCCACCTAAACCAGGAATCGCGAACCTAGTTAATTAATTAACATGATCGGTAACATATATGAAACAAGGCTTGCCTTGTGTTTCGTCGTGTGAGTGAGGTTACCGGAGGCCTAAATATCCTCCGCCTCCCTTCCTCAATCCCTGAATCCCCAACAATCCTCAAATTCCTAACCCCAAAAGGCCGGTAACGGACTTGCAACGTCTCTGGTGTTCCAGGTGTCCATGGGCGACGCCGATTGCTTACCATCAGGTGATCGTTTGCTCGTTTACCGGCTTATCCAATAAAAAAGCCCATGTTTTACTGTTAAAAATCAACAAAATCACGATGCAACCATCATCCGTATGACAAAATGTTATCAGCTTTCTCCCTACGAAACAAACAATCTAACACCTACGCTTGATAACAGGAAGTATTGTAGATAACAATACAACAATAGAGCAACTTGTGACTAGCGACTACCAACTATTGACAATCACTTACGCTAATACTATCAATGGTAACTTTTAAGAGTTGTAATACTGTATAGAACGGACGACTCTTCAGTCTAAAGTACGTAATGTAACATCCCGCTTATAACATAAAATATATATAGCGTTTACTTTGCCAATATGGGACTTTTTCGGTAGTTAGTTTTCTACAAGATCCATTGTCATAATATTTCTTTCGCTTCTACGTTTGTCATCGCTTCACGCACAATCGTGACATTTGCCTGCCTCGATGGTAAGCTTTACTTCATGTATCTATAATCATTTACATATATCCGGTTTCTGAGTCCATGTCATTTTTTGAGAAATTATAACATTAATAATCTCTGTTTACATTTTGACGACGGAGAAAAAGACCTCGACGGTTATGGAAATTGTCAAGTCTTTCTAAATATGGTCTAAATGTTCTTCAACTGTATCGCAAAGTTTGGAAATAAACTCCCAATAACTATGAAACTAACACCACAAGGTTTTTAAGGGCAGTCTTACTCCTCTGCCTACCCTTTCGGGACATAACAGAATGCCCTAAACCTAACAGAGGCTAACCTATTTACAAAATAAAATATTGTTTCATTGTTACAAAACTGTAAACAAAATTATGACGTCATACGTATTGCACAGAGCTAAAACTGGATTTTAAATTGCTCTTTCATTCACAAGTGCATTACATAAATAAAATGCACAGCAATCGTTTCATTATTACGCCTGGGCCGAGGACAGTTATGAGAACAAGTTCAGTCCCAATTAAAAACAATATGGCGGCGTTTTGCAATATCCTGTTATTATGGTCTTAGAAATCAATGTCACTTTTGTTAGCTTCAAAAACGAGAATATAAGTTTGTCATAATGGGTTTGAAATGACTGCATCGCTACTAGTTATACAAGCCGCAAGTGCGACTGCCGAATATTGACTAAATACCATCCCGTTCCTACTCCTGCCCTTCGAGCTGGAGCCCCGGCAACTCTTTAAGTCCGCGTCTCCGTATCGGCATCAGCCCTATTGGGCCCCATCCGTGGTGGTCTGATGGCTCTTTGAGTACGCTCGGGCCTGGTTCTGGTCGAGCGGCGAGCCACCCATGCTCGACGTGCGCTGGACTATGGGCCATCTTTTAAGAAACTCTCTCTCTCTCTCCATAGAAAGAAACTCTATACAAATAGGTACACCTAACTAATGTCAAAATTCAATGTTACAATACACAGTGTTATAATGCCCAGATTTTGGATTGACATCGGTTAATTTTGGCCGTAATTGAGTACTTTCCTTAATCAAAAATAAATTATTTCGACTGTTCAATACAATAAAAAGTAAAAATTAAAAAGGAAAAAAAATAACTATTATTGGTCATACGTACTTATAGCTTACACACCCACTGATAGGTTAGAAGTCTGGGTGGTATTTAGTCAGTAAAAGTCTGACACTCCCTAGAAATTAAGCGAATATTTACCCCCTTAAAAAAAATAGTCCAGCAGGAGACTTCCAGAGCCAGTTAATGTTGTATAATAACTTATTTATGTTCTCATCTTCCACAGGTACTGAGAAGGAGAAAGGGCAGCTCGGTGTCGGCAAGTCTTGCCTCTGCAACAGATTCGTTCGCACACACGCCGATGATTACAATGTTGATCACATCTGCGTGTTGAGTCAGGTAAATAACTAGTCATTACCTCATTACGTCATCGTTAAAAGCCTTAGAAGTAAATATATTTTATAGGTAAGTGAATCGGTGAAGATGATTGTTATATGATTTTTTTAAAGGAATTTGTTGTTAAGAAGTTTGTAAGGATCACGCTATAGCTTTCTATGGGATAAATATGTCTGGATGGATACGACATACAATATATCTGGTTAGACTGCCTCGTTGGCCGAGTGGTCACAAGTGCGACTACCGGGCAAGGGGTCTCGGGTTGGATTCCCGGGCCGGGAATGTAGGATCACTAGGTTTTTAAAAAATTCTCAGTAGTAGCACGGAGTCTAGAATTGTACCCGGATATGGCAATAGGCTCACCCCCTATTACATGGGACTCATAACATAAATAGTGAAAAGTGGGTCTTATATTGTACAGTGGCATAATGTGCATCTCTTCGGGGATAAAAGGCGTGATGTTATGAGATATCTGGATAGATCCGACGATTGATGATACAGCAAATAGTTACCCACTTTTCACCAGATTTGTTATGAGTCCTGATGATAGTCTTGTAGTAATTATTAAGCCTTTTTGAACATTTTTCAAGTCATATCATGCTTAAAACATGTTTACATTTATCAATCCTTATGGCATTGAGCATTTCTTTCTTTATTGAAACAAAGAGTTTCCTTTTTCTTGTATAGAAGCACTATTTTTATAGATTGTCAGTATGCATATATGAGCACCATGTTAGACTATAAGATTTTTTTTATTTTTTATTATTTTAGTAAGGTTTGTAATAGTAAAGTACCTATAATGCGTCCAGCGTGTCTTTGCATTGTTCTCACATATACGTACAGTATTGGAATATGTATCAGAGACATTGTAGAACATACTTTTTTAAAAAAAGAGTAACGAATGGAGTTTCTTTCTCGTTCTTCTCCATTCGAATCTACATTTTGGAATGAGCACCTAGCTTCACCTAGCTTCCCTGACGGACTGACTGACAGACTATTATTTATTTGTATTTGTTGACGTTTCAAAAGTACCTACCAAATTATGATGTTTTTTGTTAAGGGGGGAAAATCATCGAATGACTGCTCCCGCCTGAGTGAGGCGGGAGGGAGTGTCAGAATCTTACTGACTAAAAACCACCCCGTTCCTTCTCCTGCACGTCGAGCCGGAGCCCCGGTTACCCGTTAGGTTCTCCGCGACTCCGGATCGGCATTAGCCCTATTAGGCCCCATCTGTGGTGGTCTGATGGCTCTTTGAGGCGCGCGCGTAACGCGACGCGCCGTACGCTCGGGTCTGTTTCTGGTCGGACGGGGAGCCACCCATGCTCGCCGTCCGCAGGCCCGCGCTTACGGTGGCCGGAAATCGTACCAAATTATGGTGTAAACTGTCAAACACCAAGCGGTCACCGGTGACCGCAACCTATTGTTCTATAATTGTGTCTATAATAACGGTACTCAACGAGTTAATTGAAATAAATGCTTTGACTTTGACTTTCAATAAGATGATACGGAACATTATCAGTGTCCCCTACATACATAAAACACAATATAATTATAACACCAAACAAAACATGTATCAGTTTCTTTCACAAATATTGACTTCTGCGTCATTACGGGGTACTTCGACCCCCAAGGGTAGAAATTTGACACTTCAATGCACGATGACACGTGGCCAGTCAATTGGATAATTTAAAAAAAAACATGCTTTATAAATATACGTCTACGGCCAAGGAGTATGGTAGTGTCGTTGTTTCGTTTTTTTTTAAGTTGTAAAGTAAAGACTGGGATGTATTATTTTTTAGAAGTCGTGATAATATTTGAATCTCGTGTGTGTTTATAGAAACTCAATTTCGGTATGTGATTTGTATTTGGCTTACTGTAATTAGGTGTCCTTAATGGATCTATTAAATTGTTTATTTATTGGTCACTTTTCCTTATACACATTTTAATTAGCCGACCTTCAAGAAAAGAGCGTTTTCTTTTTAAAAGACCGGCAATGCACCTGTGACTTCTCTGGTGTTGCGAGTGTCCATGTGCGGCGCTGATCGCTTACCATCAGGTGATCCGTCTGCTCGTTTGCCTCCTATTTCTAAAAACAACCTCAAGCAGCCAGACATTTTGGTTTCGATTATTTTTGTAGGATAGCCCTGTTTTCCAATTTGTTGTAGACATGTGCACTTAAAGTAATTTTTGTAGGGTGTATTGGTTAACACTTGTAGGTGCTATATCTTACAAATAATAGTATAAAAATGTATACTGCGCTGTTTCTACTCTAAATAATCCTTTATTGGTCTTCTCTGTTGCAGTCGGACTTCAGCGGGCGCGTGGTAAACAACGACCACTTTCTGTACTGGGGCAGCGTCTCCAAGGAGAATGATGACCAGGAGTACAGGTTCGAGATCGTGGAGCAGACCGAGTTCGTGGATGATGCCTGTTTTCAGCCGTTTAAAGGTAAGCTTTGAGATAAAAACCGACATATTAAATAACTAATTCAAATTAAACGAATGTCGTAGTGGCTCGGAGGTTTAAGATACCCGTTTCTCATGCATGAGGCGGGTTCGAAACCTACCAACAGCAAGTATCGATGTGACTTTTTCCGAGTTATATGTATTTTCTAAGACATTACTGACAAACGGCAAAGGAAAACATTGTAAGGAACCCATTTCTAATTATAAGTTTGAAATCGCCAACCCGCATTGAACAAGCGTGGCGATTAATGCTCAAATCTTATCCGTGTGAGAAGAGGCATTTGGTCAGCAATTGCCGCTTATAGGCTGTTGATGTGATGATGAAATAACTAATTTAGGGCAACGTTTTACATAATATCTTATATTATTAGGGGTAGGCAGAGGTGGAGGCACCACATTATACGGCAATTAATGCTACTGTACAATGTCACTTATATTATTATCTATCGTAAAGTTTTCGCCAGGTTTGTTTGAACTCCATATTATCGCTAAGAATATCTTACATTGCAATACTTGATCCAATTCAAGTAATAAAACCGGGATCATTAATTCACTTGCCGCGTTTACAACCACTTAAGTTCATTCAACCTTCAAGGGCTCAATTTAAAATACAAAACAACACATTTTCTTTCAGTCGGCAAAACTGAAACTTACGTTAAGAGATGCGTCGCCACAAAGCTTCAGTCTGCTGAAAAACTGATGTACGTTTGTAAAAACCAGCTCGGTATAGAGAAGGAGTATGACCAGAGACTGATGCCGGATGGGAAGCTGTCTGTCGACGGTTTCCTGTGTGTCTATGATGTTAGTCTCGTGCCTGGACGGACTTGGGAGAAGCAGGTAAGACTGGTGGAAAGAAAGATGAAAAATAAGTGTGGGAGAGTCGTACTTCGGCACGAATGGCCCGGCTAGACCGGAGTAATACCACGGCCTCACAGTAAACTCACGTAAAACAACGCTTGCGTTATGTTTCGTCGTGTGAGTGAGGTTACCGAAGGCCCAATTACCCCCCCTCCCTAGTCTCCCGAATCCCCGAATCCTCCACAATCCTCAAATTCCCAAATCCCAAAAGGCCGGTAACGCACTTGTAACGCCTTGGTGTTTCGGGTGTCCATGGGCGGCGCCAATTACTTACCATCAGGTGATCCGTCTGCTAGTTTACCGGCTTATGCTATAAAAGAAAAAATAGTTGTTACCTTGCTGCTAATTTTAGCGTTAACGTTGATCCTAATGAAAGTATAAAAACGTGTCATATCATCACGGGTTTTATTCACCGAAAGGGTAGATAGAGCTGTTAAATGATGTTTTGTGTTGATGAGGTGCCATTAGAAAAGTAAAATAGGCAACTTTATTTAGTCGTTTTTCATACATTGATTGCGTATTACGCATTCGCGTTCCAAAATAACCTCTAAGATTTTAATACTGAACACAATAATCCTTTCAGAACGAAGTCCTGGCAGCAATTCTCCAGAACATTCTAAAGCTCAAGAAACCAGTGGTTCTGGTGACATCGAAGAATGATGAGGCTTGTGACCAAGGAATCAGGGAGGCTGAGAGGCTGGTGCAGCGTAAGGAGTTCAAAGGCAGCATCCCCATCGTGGAGACATCCAGTCATGATAATGTGAATGTAGACCATGCATTCTTCTTGCTTGCTCAGATGATAGACAAGTCGAAGGCTAGGATTAAGGTAAGATCTATAATAATAATTATTAATATCTACTGTTATTCGCCGTGTGGTGGCGGTAGAGTAGAGTACATTTGGTCACCACCCTACTCTTCCCGCGGGTGTGTGTGTAGCATCTACTAAGGGACTACATAATGCCACTGTACAATGTAACACCCAGTTTTCACTATTCATGTTTTAGTCCCATATAATAGGGAGTGAGTCTATTGTCATATACCGGACACAATTCCAGACTCCGTGCTGTTACTGAGAATTTTATAAAAACGCAGTACTACTTTGCCCGATCCAGGGATCGAACTCGAGATCCCTTGTCCAGTAGTCGCACTTGCGACCAATCGGCTACCGAGGCAGTCACTATACATCTTTAAGAGAAACCAGGCTGCAGTTCGCCTGATATTTTTATACTCCGATCTCCAACCTACGTGCGAGTGTGGAGATTCTGGAAAACCCCTGATTGTAGAGGAGGCCAAGGTCGAGCACCGGAGTCATGAGCTATTGAGATGTTAATATTAATATGCTATTGTATCTCCACAGGTGGCCAACTATGCAGAGGCTTTACGAATAAGAAGAGAAACGCTAGACTTTGTCACCGAAGCCTTCACCCAGCTCATCAGGATGCACGTGCAAGATCATAAGTAAGTGTTTGCCAATGTTATATGAAACTTTACTGTCTTTGTTTTAAGGTACACTTCTCCTTTTTTGGAGTGGCCAACGAACAGACGGATCACTTAATGGTAAGCAAATCAGCGCCGTCCTGGACACCCGCAACACCAGAGGAGTTAAAAAGTGCGATATAGGCCTTTTAGGTATTGGAGATTGTATGTGGAGGATTCGTCCTCCTGGAGGAGGATTAGGACTCCAGTAACGGCGAAACACAACGTCAACGTGGCTTCGATCCGGTTTTCAGTGGTGCTTTTGACCAATAAACTGACGAGATAATCGTTATTTCACACCAGCTACTTTCGCGCTGTTTCACTCGTTCTGCTCGGCGCCTATTAATCGTAGCGTGATATTTTATAGCCTATAGCCTTCCTCGATAAATGGGCTATCCAATACAGAAAGAATTTTTCAAATCGGACCAGTAGTTTCGGAGATTAGCGCGTTCGAACAAAAAAACAAACTCTTCAGCTTTATAATATTAGTATAGATTGGATTTGTAGTAAATTATAAAATTGTTCACAGAGAGATGTGGTCGGCGGCCAGCAAGAGATTGTGTCACTACCCCGAGTGGGTCAAGTTTGTTCAGCAGTTTGGAAACGACGGGACACAAGTAAGTGCTCTTAAACTGAATTCCTTATTATTATTCTTTTTATTGCTTGTCAATAAACAACTAAACATGTGTTGCAAATTGAAAAATATGGTTGTGTATATCCATCATGCCTTTATTTTATGTTTTATATTTGATGGGACGACGTTCAACCACTATCTCGGCTGGTGGTAAGCGATGATGCGGCCTACGATGGTGCACGTCGTCCCATAAGCAACCTATTCACTCGGGCCTTGAAGACACCCAGGTTATAGGATTCCTGAAGGGTTTCAGGAATTACAGACTCTGGCAAAGAATTCCACTCCTTAACAGTATGCACAAAGAAGCTTGATGCGAAGCGCTTCGAGCGTGTGGGTGGGACATCTACCATGAATCCGTGACGCTTCGCCGATTATCTTGTGGTACGATGATGGAAAGAACTAGGGGGAATCAAGTTGTGCTATTCTTCCGCACATTTATTAATGTTCTCCTACTATCTACACTGGGGTTTTCTTCTATGTCACATAACATATGTATGTGACCATCCCCAGACCAGAACAATTTGTGAATCAGACAAAGAGTTGCTCCGTGCGGGAATCGAATACGTTGCGCGGCATCCAGTTCCCCAGTCACCGTTGGGTCAGCCTTTAATTTCTAAACATTTCTTCACAAGTTAAATGATGGGCAAGCTTTTCTACACCTTATCTTAGTATCTAAAAGCTATTATACCTAAGTCCATGAGAACTAAAACTATTTCTAATTACTTATTTTCCCTAGGTCGTGTACCGTCGTCACATTCGAAGACTGAAGGAGGAGCGTTCAGCTAAGAAACTCCGCAAGCAGTTAGCCAAGCTGCCACAAGTACTGTCTAGAATGCAATTACCTACCGAGGACTTGCAGGAGAAGTAAGTAGATTAAACATGGTGTATAATACAGATTATTCTATTCCATTCGATTCCATTCCATTCTATTCCATTCCATTCTATTCCGTTCTATTCTATTCCATTCTATTCTATTCTATTCCATTCCATTCTATTCTATTCTATTCCATTCTATTCTATTCTATTCCATTCAATTCTATTCCATTCTATTCTATTCCATTCTTGACTGCACGGTTGGTGCGGTGGCTGGGCAACCGGCTGCCGTGCAACGTGTCGCGGGTTCGATTCCCGCACGGGACATCACTTTGTGTGATCCACAAAGTGTTGTTTCGGGTCTGGGTGTCATTGTGTATGTGAACTTGTATGTTTGTAAACGCACACACGACACAGGAGAAAATCCTAGATGGGGCAACGTTTAAAAAAAAAATCTATTCTATTCAATTCAATTCTATTCGATTCTATTCTATTCCATTTTATTCTATTCTATTCCATTCCATTCTATTCTATTCCATTCTATTCCATTCTGTTCTTTTAATGATTGGAATATGGAGACATGTGGAGACTGTCGAATACAAACAGGGTGTAAAAGGACTGCTTTCGAAAATGCAGACAAAAGATTTAGTTTTTTACAATTTTAATCGTTATTTTTTTGGTGTTGTCATCTTCGAGCAGTTTAATTAATTTATTAAATACAACTATTATTACTGTTATGTAATATTAATAATTAAGAAGGGTTGATTAATTATAGACGGATTTATTATGCTTGGATTTATTACAATAATGTGCAGACGACGACGACGTGTACACACACCAGACTATGACAGGTAGACAGCGGCGTTAATGACAAGTGTCCTACCTTATATAACACATTATAGTGAGGGGGCCACTACTTACTAATTAGTGATGATACAGACTAAACATACATGTAACAATTACGTGAGAAAAACATTTAATTGTTTTCTTATTGAAAATAAAACTGGTTGTTTATCATCACCTGTGATCGTCATTTGCAAGTGTAATGTTTACAGCTTATATAAAAATTGTTTTAAAATTGTATGTAGTTCACATCAGAATACACGAAGCCATTGATCTCACGGTTGAATAGGTATATTGCGTCTTGAGAGTAAAGGAACAAAGAAATAACTTGTATAATTTGTATTTGCAGAGACATACTTCTCGATCATAATATTATGGCTGTTGGTACAGTTGTATTATATTATGACTGCATCGGCCGAGTGGTTGCAAGTGCAATTGCCGGGCAAAGGGTCTCGGGTTCGTACTTTCCCGGGTCGGGCAAAGTATTACTGGTTTTTTTTTAGTAGTAGCACGGAGTCTAGAATTGTGCCCGGTATTTGACAATACGATCACCTCCTATTACATGGGACTCATAATATAAATAGTGAAATGTGGGTGTTACATTGTACACCAGCATTATGTGCCGTAATGTACACCTTTGCCTACCCATAAAGGCGTAATGTTATGTTATATGTTACTGTTGTATTATTTCTAAGGCAAACTAGACAAATGCCGTGGTCGTTAGGTTACAGAGGGACGCGCGTGTCCAACTGCCCACAGAGTGACAGCAGCGCCAAAATAATTAAGGGTGCCTATGAGGTGCTTGCCTAGGGCGCTCTCTGGGTTTAATCCGCTTCTGGTTAGAGAGACTGACAGTCGTGTTCGAATGACATCCAATGAAATGATATATTAGACATCATAATAGGGTAGTATACTAAAACAATATTAAACTCTTTCGACGATTCATATTGTATTGATTTGAAACATCGTGTGACGTCATGATTTACATTTTATAGAGTAGCATGACGTAACGACCCCCCATTCCTAAACTTAACTCCGTTTATCCTAAGTATTGCTTTCTTATACGACAAAATAAAAAAATATATGTCTAATATTTTTCCATTATCGAACTGACGGACTAATTACATTTTTAATTTTCATACACTGTATACTACCCTATTATGTTAACGACATAGGACGATATTATTTAACCTTGAGGTACTCCTTACGATATTATTTAACTTTTATTATCTGTTTCCTAGCGACTGGCCGATGGTAGTCCGTCAGTTACGCACTCACCGCGACTTCTCCGTGTACTTCAGCGAGGGTCGACACCAGGACTCCGGCTCCGAGTCAGGATCTGACCTGGACAGTCCACTCGCTATTGATACCACGCTACGGGTCGGAGAACGGGCTAGATACCAGGTGAGGCCTTAACATATTTTTTTATGGCATACAGTGGCAAACGAGCAAACGCATTACCTGATGGTAAGCAATCGATGAGGCGCCGTCTTTCGCAAAGAGTGGCGTTAATAGTGAGCTGCCAGCCTTTTAGAGATTATTTTAGGGATGATGACGCCATATGGCAAGTGGTGGGAAGAATTGGGGCTCGGCAAACCTCAAACTTTGGGATGGACGCGATTTTTACATAAGACTTTTAATCGATGAAAATCAGCATTTCTTATAGAAATGTACATGTTGGACATAATTAGGTATTTTTGGCTCGTGATCGTTTTTTTATTACTTTATCTTGTTTACAGACTCTGGGACAGTCGCAGAAGATTCCTTACGAGATCCTGGAGTCGAACGAAGCAGCAGCTGTCTTCAAGACCTTCCTGCATGAAGCGCAGGAGGAACATCGGAACTATGAGTGAGTTTTTAGTCAAGTTTTTAGACTGCTACTTATTTTTCTTCTCTTTCATTTCTATTCTGTGACCATCATCTGTATACTTAGTTGCAATAAAGACTGCCTCTTATTATACTGGATTTTGGGTAACTTTTGGGGTGGAAAGTGTTTATATTCTTTAGACTTTTTTTTCTTTGGTTAAATGTTGCTCTGTCATCACCAAAGCTTTATCTATGTATAATTTAACAATTTTGAAATTTATATAATACAAAATAATGTCGACAGTCGACACTACCATATTATTGTGGTATGCTTATTATATCACTGGATACTTTATTGGGTACTTAAATGAGAATGGTGAAACAGGCTCTTTATCTCCAAATACTCACACTCTTAAGTCGCGCTTAAGGCTATACTTAAGCGCACCTTAAAATAGAGTGACGTTAGAACTTTTTCTGTCACTACAAAATCTTTGTATAATGACAGAGATGGCACGATATTTAAGTACTACAAATTGAGTAGCCTTTCGGTATTCGGCCGTCAGTTTATGAATAGTTATATTTACTTCTTCTATATAAACATACACTATAGGTACTCATACTCGGTTCCAGCTGTCGGGCTGTCTCAATAAATGCACTATCCAACACAAAAAGTATCCATTCAAATCTGACCAGTCGTTCCAGAGATTAGCGCGTTCAAACAAACAAAGAACCAAGCTTTGTATATTAATTAGATGCCCGCGACTTCGTCTGCGTGGAATAGGGACTTTGGATAGTTCTTCGCAGTTCCTCTCCCGTAGGCGATAGCGTGATGATATGTAGCCTATATGTTGAGCTGGCCTGTTTGTAATATTCGTGCAAAATTTGAAGTAAACCTATGCAGTGCTTTTTGACTTTAGCTCAGACATACATACAGACAAACAGACAAAAATTCCAAAAACTAAATTTTTTGTTTCGGTATCGATTGTAGATTACGCCTTAAGTATTCAATGTATAATTTTGACCTTCCTACGATTTTATTAAATGTATAGATATAACATAGTATTTTTTTTTTTTTTTTTTTAAGGGGGGAAAATCATCGAATGACTGCCCCCGCCTGAGTGAGGCGGGAGGGAGTGTCAGACTCTTACTGACTAAAAACCACCCCGTTCCTTCTCCTGCACGTCGAGCCGGAGCCCCGGTTACCCGTTAGGTTCTCCGCGACTTCTAACATAGTATAGAGTATGTTTTAATACCATCTACCTCTCGCAGATGGTGCCAACAATTCAAGCGTCTCCTAGAAGAGACAGGCTACGTGACTCCCGGCAAGCAGTTGTCGGAAGTACGCGTGCTACTGATGGGCCGCGAGTGCTACGAGGCGCTCGCCGAGGACCAGCAGCAGAGGGTCTACGACCAGCACCAGCGGCAGATACAACGCCGGGCTAAGGATAACTTCCAGGTATTTCACATTTTTATTAAGGTAGACAAGCAGACAGATGTATATTATAACTTTCGTGAGACATACTAAATTAAACTGTAAAACACCAAGCGGTCACCGGTGACCGCAACCTATTGTTCTATAATTGTGTCTATAATGACGGTACTCAACGAGTTAATTAGCTATTATGTTTCGGCTTACTTATTTGACGGAGAACTCAACTAGCTTAAAGCCACGCTAGAATCTTATATACATGAGCAGCATTCCGCGACTCGCGATGCGGCGTCTGTCTCATGAATATGAGCTTCTAGCGTGGCAAATTCGTCGCGGAGAACCTAACAAGTTACCGGGGCTCCGGCTCGACGTGCAGGAGATGGAACGGGGTGGTTCTAGTCAGTAAGAGTCTGACACTTCCTTCCGCCCTACCCGCCTTACTTAGTGATGATAGAAGTGTATTGCTGGCCTTTTGGGGGTTAGGGATTTAAGGATTTGAGGATTTGGAGATTTAGCGGTGAGAGGAGGAGATTTTTACTTAGTTATGAACTTATGACCTAAGTCAAGTCAAGTCAAAGCATTTATTTCAATTAAACCATAGTTTGGTACTTTTGAAACGTCAACAAATACAAAATAAATAATAGTCTGTTAGTCAGTCCGTCAGTGAAGCTAGGTGAAGCTAGGTGCTCATTCCAAAACGTAGATTCGAATGGAGAAGAACGAGCAAGAAACTCCATTCGTTACTCTTTTAAAAAAGTATGTTCTACAATGTCTCTGATACATATTTCAATACTGTACGCATATGTAAGAACAATGCAAAGACACGCTTGACGCATTATACTAATAACTTACTAAAATAAAAATAAAAATAATAAAGATCTTAAGTCCAACATGGTGCTCACATATGCATACTGACAATCCATAGAAATAGTGCTTCTATACAAGAAAAAGGAAACTCTTTGTTTCAATAAAGAAAGAAATGCTCGATGCCATAAGGAAACTAGATTGTCTACATTAGAATTAAAGTATTAAATTATGTATTATATTACCTACTATTGGAATTTAACTACTGACTACATTTGAGTATTGTCCAGTGGAGCCGAACCAACATGCTGCCAAGCATTCTTATCTTCAAGATAATCTGTCAGTGTGTAGTAAGCTTGATTACATAATTCGCGCTTAATATATGTTTTAAATTTACTTTCATTGAGATCTAGTATGCTATTTGGTATTTTATTATAGCATTTAATACCTAACCCCATAAAGGATTTCTGTACTTTGGACAGTCTGAATTGCGGTATAGCTAACTTATTTTTGCCTCTAGTATTAAAAATTGTGTCTATCGCTTCTTTTTTCAAACAATTGCCTATTTTTCCTTACATACATTATATTTTCATATATATATTGACAGGGCACCGTTAAAATATTTATCGTTTTAAACAATTCTCTCAACGATTCGCAACGGCGTAAGTTATATATTGCTTGGATAGCCCGCTTTTGCAGAATAAATATTGATTCTATTTCTGCAGCTCGACCCCACAACAAAATGCCGTACGACATAATGCTGTGGAAATAACTAAAATAGACAAGCCTAGCTGTATCTACGTCCGTGAGCTGTCTAATCTGTCTAACTGCAAAAGCAGCTGAGCTCAATCTCCCCGAAAGCGCCTTTATATGCGGACCCCATTGTAGCCTATTGTCTAACGTAATGCATAAAAATACTGTCTCGTCGACAAATTCTAACTTTTGACCGTTCAAAACAATATCACTATCGTTACTACGCACGTTTGGTAAACTGAATTTAATACATTTTGTTTTTTTTCATTAAGTGCTAGATTATTAGAAGAAGTAACATAATCAGGGATTTTTTCTAAAGTTTAAGTAAATAGCAGTCTTATTAAAAGTTTCATGGATCACAGCAACCCTTATCTAAGACAAAAATGGTACAAAGAATAGCTTTTGTTACCAGAGCTTAGTTGCAAATTTTAACTTAACTAATGAAAAATTTGAATAAAAATTCTACCTTCGGGGCTGAGGGAGATGAATTTGTTCAGCAGTGGACATCTTCTGGCTGATGATGAAAAATGTGATGATCGCATAGAGTACGTGATATACTTTCTGCTTGTTATAGGAACTGCTACTGGAGCACGCAGACCTGTTCTATCACTTCAAGAGCATATCGCCGACCGGGACGATCACTCAGGAGGACATCAAGGAGATCACTGATGTGCTACAGGACGATTTCAGGTTAGTGACTTTAAAACTACTACTATTCGAGGTCTTTGGTTATATCTCCGTTTTGACAGATGATTAAAACATAATACACCTTGGGGTATGGTGCATAAAATCGCCTGTGAGCGCATTCTAGTCGCTTTGGGCTCTACTTACTACGACGGTTAATTTTACATAAAACTGCACGCGACGTTTTTGTAAATAATTTTTCGACAAACTGTTTTAGAATTATTTTATTAACCTGATCGACAATAAAAAAGTTGTTAAAGTATAACATTATTTCATAACACTATAAGCTGGTACGATATCAATGACCATTTTTCACATTTTCATTACAATGAATGCCATAATATATATTAAAAATTGGAAAGTGAGTTTGTTTCTTTGTTTGTTTGTTCCGCTTTTGCGCCGTAACTACTAAACCGATTGCTTTAAAATTTTGCAGAGGTGAAGTTAGAAGTCTGGATTAAATAATAGGGTACTTTTATCCCGGAAAAATTGATATTTCCGAGGAAAAAAATAATATTGGTATAGATGGCGCTGTGTGTATTGGTATAGATGGCGCTGTATGTCATTTAAAACCAGTTAATTACCTACTTATTGGGAAAATTTAAATAGCGCGATATAACAGAATTCTACGCGAGCGGAAAGCTATTTGTTTGTTTGGCTGTCTTAAACGGCAGAACGGAGGTACTAATTAACGTGATTTTTAACTGAAGGTAGTTGAAGGGATGGATAGTCACATAGGCTACTTTTTATCCATTTGTGATGCGAGTGAAGCCGCTGGTAAAAGCTAGTAATAAATATTTATACAAAAGTTTAGCTTAGTAGGATTCTTCTTCGTAGGCGAAATCGTCACAAGTCAAAATTATTTATTTCAATTAGAACAGGAAGGCACTTTTGAACGTCAACAATAAAAATTTATAAGTGAAGCTATTTGCTCATTCCATGGTGTTCCATTACTAAGTATTGATATCATACCTATCGTACAGATACAAGATGTTGGACCGCATGGAGCAGGACCGCAAGCTGATGTTGTTCCAGCACCTCGGGTTCGTGCACTGCCCCATGAGGGAGCACTGCCCCGCCGCCGCCAACTGTCTCGACGCCACGCTGCCCGTCATACTCAACACCAGGGTGGGGTGAGTACTACAAGTCACATGATCATCTACCCAATAATGTCGTGGTGGCCCGGAGGTTTAACCTCGACGCCACGCTGCCCGTCATACTCAACACCAGGGTGGGGTGAGTACTACTCACTGTACAATGAACATGAGGGAGCACTGCCCCGCCGCCGCCAACTGTCTCGACGCCACGCTGCCCGTCATACTCAACACCAGGGTGGGGTGAGTACTACTCACTGTACAATGAACATGAGGGAGCACTGCCCCGCCGCCGCCAACTGTCTCGACGCCACGCTGCCCGTCATACTCAACACCAGGGTGGGGTGAGTACTACTCACTGTACAATGAACATGAGGGAGCACTGCCCCGCCGCCGCCAACTGTCTCGACGCCACGCTGCCCGTCATACTCAACACCAGGGTGGGGTGAGTACTACTCACTGTACAATGAACATGAGGGAGCACTGCCCCGCCGCCGCCAACTGTCTCGACGCCACGCTGCCCGTCATACTCAACACCAGGGTGGGGTGAGTACTACTCACTGTACAATGAACATGAGGGAGCACTGCCCCGCCGCCGCCAACTGTCTCGACGCCACGCTGCCCGTCATACTCAACACCAGGGTGGGGTGAGTACTACTCACTGTACAATGAACATGAGGGAGCACTGCCCCGCCGCCGCCAACTGTCTCGACGCCACGCTGCCCGTCATACTCAACACCAGGGTGGGGTGAGTACTACTCACTGTACAATGAACATGAGGGAGCACTGCCCCGCCGCCGCCAACTGTCTCGACGCCACGCTGCCCGTCATACTCAACACCAGGGTGGGGTGAGTACTACTCACTGTACAATGAACATGAGGGAGCACTGCCCCGCCGCCGCCAACTGTCTCGACGCCACGCTGCCCGTCATACTCAACACCAGGGTGGGGTGAGTACTACTCACTGTACAATGAACATGAGGGAGCACTGCCCCGCCGCCGCCAACTGTCTCGACGCCACGCTGCCCGTCATACTCAACACCAGGGTGGGGTGAGTACTACTCACTGTACAATGAACATGAGGGAGCACTGCCCCGCCGCCGCCAACTGTCTCGACGCCACGCTGCCCGTCATACTCAACACCAGGGTGGGGTGAGTACTACTCACTGTACAATGAACATGAGGGAGCACTGCCCCGCCGCCGCCAACTGTCTCGACGCCACGCTGCCCGTCATACTCAACACCAGGGTGGGGTGAGTACTACTCACTGTACAATGAACATGAGGGAGCACTGCCCCGCCGCCGCCAACTGTCTCGACGCCACGCTGCCCGTCATACTCAACACCAGGGTGGGGTGAGTACTACTCACTGTACAATGAACATGAGGGAGCACTGCCCCGCCGCCGCCAACTGTCTCGACGCCACGCTGCCCGTCATACTCAACACCAGGGTGGGGTGAGTACTACTCACTGTACAATGAACATGAGGGAGCACTGCCCCGCCGCCGCCAACTGTCTCGACGCCACGCTGCCCGTCATACTCAACACCAGGGTGGGGTGAGTACTACTCACTGTACAATGAACATGAGGGAGCACTGCCCCGCCGCCGCCAACTGTCTCGACGCCACGCTGCCCGTCATACTCAACACCAGGGTGGGGTGAGTACTACTCACTGTACAATGAACATGAGGGAGCACTGCCCCGCCGCCGCCAACTGTCTCGACGCCACGCTGCCCGTCATACTCAACACCAGGGTGGGGTGAGTACTACTCACTGTACAATGAACATGAGGGAGCACTGCCCCGCCGCCGCCAACTGTCTCGACGCCACGCTGCCCGTCATACTCAACACCAGGGTGGGGTGAGTACTACTCACTGTACAATGAACATGAGGGAGCACTGCCCCGCCGCCGCCAACTGTCTCGACGCCACGCTGCCCGTCATACTCAACACCAGGGTGGGGTGAGTACTACTCACTGTACAATGAACATGAGGGAGCACTGCCCCGCCGCCGCCAACTGTCTCGACGCCACGCTGCCCGTCATACTCAACACCAGGGTGGGGTGAGTACTACTCACTGTACAATGAACATGAGGGAGCACTGCCCCGCCGCCGCCAACTGTCTCGACGCCACGCTGCCCGTCATACTCAACACCAGGGTGGGGTGAGTACTACTCACTGTACAATGAACATGAGGGAGCACTGCCCCGCCGCCGCCAACTGTCTCGACGCCACGCTGCCCGTCATACTCAACACCAGGGTGGGGTGAGTACTACTCACTGTACAATGAACATGAGGGAGCACTGCCCCGCCGCCGCCAACTGTCTCGACGCCACGCTGCCCGTCATACTCAACACCAGGGTGGGGTGAGTACTACAAGTCACATGATCATCTACCCAATAATGTCGTGGTGGCCCGGAGGTTTAACACGCCCGTTTCTCATGCATGAGGGCTGGAAACCTATCAACGACAAGCACCAATGTGACTTTTTCGAATTACTTACTTAAGCTTATTTAGATACTACTAACGAACCGTAAAGGAAAACATAGTGAGGAAACCGTAATTTCTAATTATAAGTTTGAAATCGCCAACCCGCACAAGCGTGGTGATTAATGCTCAAACCTAATTCGTGTGAGAAGAGGCCTTTGGTTAACAGTGGCCACCCAACCTATACACCAAACGTTGCTAGATTTGTACTTAGTTCCCTAAAGCAGAATATTGATTGATTTAATTATAGTTTGCCTTTTATGGAATAGACAAACGAGCAAACCGATAACCCGGTGGTAAGCGATCGGCGCCGCCCGGACCAACACCAGAGGAGTTACAAACGCATTGTTTCTGTTGCAGGAATATGTGAATCAATCAAAGAATATTTTTGTTCATTGTCGCTCAGCTATTTTTGTCAACCGAGCACTCCACGTATCTTTACAAGAAAGCGTAATGTAATTCGTTATAATCATTCAGAAGACAGTCACTGCTGTGAAAAATTCCACTTTTCGGAGGAGCTACCATAATAATAAAACATAACATCACGCCTTTTATCCGCGAAGGGGTAGGCAGAGGTGCACATTATGCCACTGTACAATGTAATACCCACTTTTCACAATTTATGTTATGAGTCCCATGTAATAGGGGGTGAGCCTATTGCCATATTCCGGGCACAATTCCAGACTCCGTGCTACTACTGAGAATTTTTTTAAAACCCAGTAATACTTTGCCCGATCCGGGAATCGAACCCGAGACCCCTTGCCCGGCAGTCGCACTTGCGACCACTCGGCCAAAGAGGCAGGCATAATAGTAAAACGACCTACTTTTTAATTATAAGAGTAATGACCCTGTATGACAAGATAAGGTTTAAAATACTTTACTTTTCCTATCTGTAGGTCTCTGACATCAACGGGAGAGTCTCAGTGCCACGCGGGCCCGCCGGCCGCGCCCTGGGCGCTCACCACTGACTCCAACCAGATCAACGTCATTATTCTTGGCGTATGTAGTTTATTTATATTCCTGATATTATGTTTAATTAAAATATTCAATAAAAAGTATAAATTAGGCATCCGAAATAGAATTAAGTATCATACAATATTTAGGTATTTCTCTCTGAAATTCATGTTGATAATCACGAAGGCATTTTATAGAGAATCAAGGTTTAACCTCAATGTGTGTCGCGGAGAACCTAACGGGTAACCGGGGCTCCGGTTCGACGTGCAGGAGAAGGAACGGGGTGGTTTTTAGTCAGTAAGAGTCTGACACTCCCTCCCGCCTCACCCAGGCGGGAGCAGTCATTCGATGATTTTCCCCCCTTAAAAAAAAAAGAAAAAAAAAAACCTCAATGTGTCATTGTGTATGTGAACTTGTATGATTGTAAACGCACCCACGACACAGGAGAAAATCCTAGTGTGGGGCAACGTTTTTATAAAAAAAAAACCTGTTGAAATATCATCCCCTAAATTTGTTCATACAAAAGTAGTCTCTAAATATCGGAAATAAGGTCTCTAATGTTAGTGGAGAGTGGTCACCGATGACTGCTTGGGGATAAATGGTTCAAGACAGGCAAAATAGTACTTAAACACAAACATCTCGTCGAAGTCGATGAAATACTTGTCTTTTTCTCCTGACTTGACATATCTAAATTGTGTTCATAGTTTCACACTCACATCAAAATTTGCTTTACTTTTGAAAATTCATTAAAATTATCATAACATCACGCCTTTTATCCCCGAAGAGGTAGGCAGAAGTGCACATTACGGCACTTAATGCCACTGTGTAATGTAACACCCACTTTTTACTATTTATGTTATGAGTCCCAAGTAATAGGGGGTGAGCCTATTGCCATATACCGGGCACAATTTCAGAATCCGTGCTACCACTGAGATTTTTTAAAAACCCCTTGAGCGGCAGTCGCATTTGCGGCCACTCGGCTAACGAGGCAATTATCGTTGAATATTTGTATATTTTTGCCTGATTAATTATCTTAAGTTTTCTGTATATTTTGTCCAGATTAATTATCTACAGTTTTATCTATATTTTTCCTGATATGAACCATGTTATACCAGGTGGAAGGCATAGCGGGTGAGTTCGGCAAGCGACTACTGGCGGGCTGCGACGCGGAGCGCCGCGTGCCCGTGGCCGGCCACGCCTGGCGCGTCGAGCAACGCGTGCGGACCGACGACTTCAGCGCTGACACCACTTGCATTGATGACTTCGCTCCTAATGGTAAACTACTTGCTCTATAGTTATTCAGCATTTCCCCACACTTTGATTGATATATGATTATCTCTTGCATTATGGGTGTAATTCATCATTATCGTCATCATAATACCAGCCGCAAACTGGCCAATGCTGACGATAGGCCTTTTCCAGTGACTTTGAAAGTGAAGTTGGACTTTGGTAGCGGAGGACTAACGGGTTGCCGGGGCTCCGGCTCGAAATGTAGGAGTAGGAACGGTGTGGTTTTTAGTCAGTAAGAGTCTGACACTTCCTCCCGCCTCACCTAGGCGGGAGAAATAATTCGATGATTTATCCGTCTTAAAAAAGGGTGTGACAACGAAATAAAATTATTGTAATTGATAAGAAATAAACTGATTTATTTGTTGTTCACAGGTTATTTCTGCGTTTACCAAGATCAAGAATCGTTTGAGTACATTAGAGGATGTGCCGAGAAGACGCTGCTGTCGAGCTTAGAACAAGAGGACAAGTTACCGTTTCAGGTAAAATATTTAGAGTTACAATTTAGTAAGAATGCAGTTTAAATTCAAAATGATACTCAAATAGTTGATTTAAATATATTTTTTATACCACGACGGTTGCAAAAAAGCAAACAGACCACCTCATGGTAAGCGGTTACCGTGGCCTATGAACGCTTGCAACACTATGGACATGCCCCTTGCCTTTAACTCGTCGAGTACTGGTTTTGTAGACACAATTATAGAACAATAGGTTGCGGTCACCGGTGACCGCTTGGTGTTGGACAGTTTAAAAATGATAGTAAAATTACACAATCTATTCAAGTAAACCTTGTATTTTATAGTAAGTTATTAATAAACAGTCGACTGCACGGTTGGTGCGGTGACTGGACAAGCTGCGTGTAGCGTGTCGCGGGTTTGATTCCCGCACGGAGCAACTCTTTATGTGATCCATAAATTGTCGTTCCGCGTCTGGGTGTACTGTCTGTGTGAACTTGTATGTTTGTAAACGTATCCACGACACAAGAGTAAATCGTAGAGTAGGGCAACGTTTAAAAAATGGAATGGTCTACAATGCGGTGTCATTATAAATTTTGAACATCACAAGGAAGACAGTAAATTGATTTAAAATCGCGGGTTACTCACGTGAAATGCGGTCGCATGCACGCACGCTGCTCATAAGGAACCTCTCTGTAGTTTGAAACTAGTAAACCGCGCTTTTTAGTTAATCACAAGGAAAAGTTATAACAAAATATCTTTTGGTTCCAGGGTTTGCCATTGGTGGTGATGTTCGTTCAAGACGAGGGTCTGGACAAGAAGGAGCTGACCAGGTTGCAGGAAGAAGGGCAGAATCTGGCTGACAAGTTAGTATTATAGATATTTGTTAATTATTCTTGATCTCACCTATGTTATGTTCTATTTTATTTTGGATAATACTGTGATATTTGGTAAAGAGGATAACGACATAGAGAGATCATTGGAGGAAAAACAAAACATAGGCATTAGGACTAATCTTAATTCTTACTAATATTATAAATGCGACCGTTTGTGTGTTTGTCTGTTACTCATTCCGTCAAAGGGCTGAAGGGATCGGGATGATATTTGGAACAAGGGCAGATATTTCATGAACTTAGGTGTTTTGAAGGCCCGAGTAAATAGAATAGAATAGAATAATGGCACAAGGTGCTCCATCGTAGGCCGCATCATCGCTACCACCAGGCGAGATAGCGGTCGAACGTCAGCCCATCAAATATAAAAAATAAATGTGGTCTGGAATTACACATTTGCTACTTTTTATTCCACGGGTAGCCGCTGATAGAAGCCAGTGAATAATCGAGAAAACTTAATTACTCCATCTTTTATTTAAATAGTATGCTAATAGACCAATTTCTTTCCAGTCTTCACTGTTCCTACATGGAAGCATCAGTGAACGAACTTGGAACTGAAGCACTTACTTCAGACGCCGTGCAAGAGTTAGTTAGAGCCAACAGGGAGAAGGCGAGCTACGCGCATCTGTACAGAGATGTTATCGTGTGCTTCGATTCTGATATCAGGTGAGTGCAGAGTAGAAATAGTTTTTCACCGCCGTCCTTTCCTCGAGTGACCTAAAGGACTTCGTATTTCATAAGGCGGCTCTAAACATTGGACCAATGTGTAAATAGCGACATGTACTATTGGGTACTTCCCAATTAGTCAAATTCAATACTTTTATCGAACTGTCAAAAATCGACAGTTTTCTATGAATTTTGTACGAGATTGTGTATTGTGATGTCACGTTGAGCGTCAAACGGCATACTTATTTCTTAAAAAATTGCTGGAAAATTACCAAAATTAAGTTGATCATAAAATCAATGAAAGTGTGATAATTGTTTAATATGTAAACCTGCCTTGCATTAAATCAATGCAAGGCCGGAGTCGGCTTTAGGACTTTGGTAACAAGATTGAGTTCTGTGGCCATAAAGTTATCTAAATCATAATGTTATATTTTCCCCAGGATAATGGTTTGCATGTTCTGCGACGACCCGTATTCCCCGGAACGCGTGCTGAGTCCATTACTACTGCACCGCGCCTGCTTCCTCACCGGGGACCGGTCCATCGTCATCGAGACGTTCCTAGGGGACTCCAAACGGAAAGTCGAGGTCTGTAATGTTTTACAAAGGAAAAAAATTGATTTTGATTCTGGTGCAGACAAGATTTGTTGCGAGAGACGCCGAAAAATAATCTGCGACGTGTCTGTCAGCAGAACTGATTATATTATAAATGTGTTTTATATTAACTGATTATATTATTATGAAGCCGCCTGAAGCAGCGTCTAGGCGTCTGAAGTCATGGCGCCAGAGCGGTCCTTCGAACGACTTTTTTTTAAGGGGGGAAAATCATCGAATGAATTCTCTCGCCTGGGTGAGGTGGGAGGGAGTGTCAGACTCTCAGATTCTTCTTACTGACTAAAAACCACCCTGTTCCTACACCTGCCCTTCGAGCCGGAGCCCCGGCAACCCGTTAAGTTCTCCGCGGTACCGTATCGGCATCGTACGGTCGGCCTAGTTCTTGTGAGTGGTGGGTTACCCAAGCTCGCCGTCCGCAGGCCCGTGCTAGAGATTGTGCCTTCGAACGACCTAGCGAGTTACCGTGGCTCCGGCTAAGGAGTAAGAACGAGGTGGGTTTAAGTCAGTAAAAGTCTGACACTCCCTCTCGCCTACTTCAGGCCGAAACAAGTCATTGGATGATTTACAAGGCGCCTAAGCTATACCGCACTGCTTCGATGCCCACTGACAGTGGTCACCAGGCCTATATAATAAATAATATTTGATACAACGAAAGCCTGTCAAGTCTCATTTAAATTAAATGGCGCTATTGTGGTTAAGGATTATACCATATTTGGCACTATACATAAATATAATATCTATTTCTATCGTGCTATATTATTTCGCAGGTCATCATATCAAGTTTTCATGGTGCAAGTCAGTTCAGGGAGGAATTGATCCACGGATTCATTCTCATCTACTCGGCTAAGAGGAAGGCTAGCTTGGCTACACTGAAGTAAGTTCAATATAATAATACATACTATCTACTTCCGCGCGGTTTCACACGCTCTGCTCAGCTCTTATGGGTCGTAGCGTGATGTTTTATAGCCTATAGCCATCCTCGATAAATACGCTATCCAACACAAAAAAAAGTTCAAATCAGACTTGTAGTTACGGAGATTAGCGCGTTCAAACAAAAAAACAAACTCTTCCGCTTTATATAATAGTATAAGATTACCGAACTAGTTATAGGAATCTTCACTTTAGAAGGAGTAATTTCACTAAAGAATAGAAGATATTTCTATTTGTATTTGTTGCCTAAAATAATGCCTTTTTGTGTGCTTTGAATTTGAGTCAAACAATTAATATTTACAAATTACGTACAATGGGGGGCGGTTGAAAGGAAATGTTTAATTGTTTTCAATATTATTGTCTACCAGAAGTAAATCTATACGAACAATACCAAGCTAAACACGTCTTGATTACTTGTACTATAATGTATTCTGTTAAAGATTTTTAGTCATTTACTGCGTTTTTTTTTTGGCAGAAACTTCATACAACTGATACCAATATCTACAGATTTTGAATTTACGCAGGTCATCATAATTAACAGTTAGAAGTATACAAACTAAAGAGGTTTTTAATCAATAACCCATGTAAAGATACAAGTTTAATCCAACAATTTCTCTTACAGCGCCTTCTCAATGAACATCCCGAACCTGCCTATCCAAATGGTGGCTGTTACGGACGGAGGCGGTTCTGCCAGTACTTTCTTCGGCACGGACTTGGGACATGCACTCATCACCGAAGGAAATGCCACCGCAGACAGACTCGCTGCTCACTTCACTACTTATACTTCTAGTGCTGAAAATAAATGTGAGTAATATTCTTGTAAATCTAGTGAATTTTGTTCGATTGTAGTGCCATCTATGGAGTGTAAACTTGAAATAATAGTAATAATATATCAGTTGTTTCAACTGATATATGCCTGGTATACGCCTGCCTCAGTAAAATAAATAATAATAATAATCGATCCAGAGATTTTGAAATAAGATTCCGTTTTTGATAGAAACGCTAAATCTAAAATCCTCGGATTGAGGTCTGTTATTAATTTCCACTGTTATCCGACTTTGTCCGAGTTTGTAAAGTTAACTTTGAGGGGTTAGCCCTCGTCACAGTGTATTTTCTAATAAAGGTTTTAACAGAATCGATACAAATAATTCTGTTTAGTGTTAACCAAGTTTCACGTGTGATTCAACACACAATTAGGTACTTACAAAAGAAAATAAAATTTTGCTTTTTAAATTTGCCAAAAGTGCTGAAACTAAAGTTGTTCTGTTCGTGGCTACAAATTATAAAAAAAGTTGCGTGTATTCAATAATAAAATGTCTATTTTTGTTAATACAGCGGCGTTCTACACGCCATTCTTCAAAGAGGTATGGGAACGTAAGGGCGAGATAGAGCGCGCCTTCCGCATGGAACAACCACACAACCTGCCCGACGTCGCCGCCGCTAGACCCGCGCCGCCGCCCAGGAACCATTCCTATCATCTTAACCATATGTACGTATTATTTGCGCAATATCTTATCACTATTATAAATGTCTATCACATGAATGGGCCGGCTCGACCGGAGCGACACGACGGACTCACAAAAAATGACATGAAACAACACCTGCATCTTGTGCAGCCATGGGAGTGTGGTTACCAAAGGTCTAATCGCTCCCCCTCGTCATCGCCAAATCACCAAAACCCTTTTTAGGGGTTGTCAAATTATCCAATGACTTCTTCCGCGTTGAGTGACGCAAGAGTGAGTTTCAGGCTTTTACTGACTATAAACCACCTCTTTTCTACTCTTACTTTGAGCAGGAGTCATCGGAACCTGTTAGATTGTCCGCAGCTTTGGAAATCACTAATCCCTAGAAGACTGGTTATGCACTTTTAACTCTTTTCATGTCGCGGGTAGCCGTAGGTGACGCTGATTGCTTACTGTTTTATTTTTAATATATTGTGTAGAAATAATTTAAAGCGTGAATTAAACACACTAGTCAGAAGCACACTGCCTATATTTCATAAACAAAAGAAGAACATAAATAGATCTCAACTCTTGAAAGCTGGCCAGCTTGCCACAGATACTATAAACATATATAACTACTATCATCATCATTGTCTTTCGTAAAGTTCTTTGTCTATTTTTCACTAGTTAAGTTATATGAACCCCTTGTTTTATGACCATGCTTTAATAAAACTACTGAAAATACTTTACCTGAACCCTATTTCCACTAACGGGGTAAACAAATACTAATTTTAAACAAAATATTATAATTATTATGTGTTTTAGGCGTGAGCACAAGTTGACCAACTCGTTGGATCTCCTCATCGGGCCCGACTCCCGCGCAGACATCGACTCGGAATACAGCGACACACTCAACAACTCCAAGAATAGAGGATTTCTGAAAGGTAAAACAAGAAGCACTCTTTTAATTGACAGTTTAAGATCCATTACGTATTTCGGATTCGACTTTATTTATTTATTTATTTAACACTTCATGTATAACTGTATACAATGGCGGACTTAATGCCGATTGGCATTCTCTACCAGCCAACCAAGACTTTACTTCGATTGTTAAATAAAATAAAATAAATGTTACGCTCGAATACTGAAAGACTACTCAACTTTAATATACACTTAAATATCGTGCCATCTCTGTCATTTTACAAAGAATTTGTAGAGACAGAACTATACTTAAGCGTTTAAAAATGGCGTTCGAGTATTTGGACATTAGGTACTTCAAAACAGAATTTTTTAAAAGAGTAACGAATGGAGTTTCTTGCACGTTCTTCTTCATTCGAATCTACATTTTAGAATGAGCACCTAGCTTCACTGACAGACTATTATTTATTTTTTATTCGTTGACGGTAGCAACGTACAAAAGTACCAAATTATGGTTTAATTGAAATAAATGCTTTGACTTTGACTTTGATCCTCTATACACGTCATCATGAGATCAGTTTCAATTAAAGTATATTATTTTTTCTAGGTTTTAGCGTATACCCTCCACCTAGCACGCCCCCAGAACCAGCCCCACCAGATCACAGGATGCACGCAGATTTGTCACGTAAGTCGTATCTAATATTATTTCAATACTTCTTATATATTTACTGTAGTACTTATAATATTACGTTGGTAGGGCAACACTTGAGAATTTGTGATCTATGTTGCTGTTTATAAAGTTCAAATTAGTTTAGTAATGACAATGGTGCGGTCATAAATTGGTCCGTTATTCAATTCTCTAAATCAAAAACGATATTGCAACATTAACATGAACATCCTCTAAGTGGCCACTGCTGACGAAAGGTGGAGAACGTTTGAACATTAATCGCCACGCTTGCTCATTGCGGGTAGGCGTATTCAAATTTATAATTAGAATTTTTAACCCCAGGTTTCCTCACGATGTTTTCCTTCACCGTTTGTCAGTGGTGTCTAAATAATTTTAGAAAGTACATATAACTCGGAAATGGGGATGATGACAGGGTATGAAAATTAAAAATATAATTAGTCCGTAACTTAGGTAATAAAAAAATATTAGACACGTATTTTTTTATTTTGTTGTATAATAAAACAATACTTAGATAAAACGAATCAAAGTTTAGGAGTGGGGGCTAAAACGTCATTTCTTAGTATAAAATGTTCTGAGAAGTGACGTCACGCGACATTTCAAATCAATATATCTTCGAAACTATTCGTTTCCGTAAGAAAATAAAAAATACGTGTCTAATGTTTTTAAATAATCTACCAGACGGACATTAAAATAAAAATTAGTTGTCTCCCCCATTGTCACATTGGTACTTGACGTTGATAAGTTCTGATCCCACAACGTCATGAATGAGAAGCGGGCGTCTTATACTTCGTGAGCCATTACGTCTCGATATTGCAAGTTTAGTCCATAATATTAAACCTGTTTTGGAAAGCTTGGTTCGTGATGTTACATTTTATGGCAATAGTTTTACAATATTTTGAGTTCACGGTACAGAATATTTACTGTGTCAAGTTTCTTAAGCCGACAACTAAGTTAATCAATTTTTTAAGTGTTGCCCTATCATCTCGGCGTAAGTGTTGCCAACATACAAATTTAATATTGTAAGAATATAAAATAAAAAATAATGTTATAATGCAGCGGACCTCAACTGTTCGGAGGATTCCCTCAGCACCCATGAGTCAGGTGATTGCATGACACACGATTTTAGACCTTATTCGATAATGCGGACGGTATTATTTTGTGTGTAGATGTAGATTTTTTATTATATTGTTTTGTTTTCATAGGGATTTTTTGTTGTTTTTGTGGTTGATTTTAATATATAAAACATTGACTAATTTGTTAGTCGAGTGTGCGTATATTTGTTACGCAATCACGTTAGAAATGGCTGAAGGGGTCAGGATGATATTTGGAACATAACATAAACATAACATCACGCCTTTTTATCCCCGAAGGGGTAGGCAGAGATGCACATTACGGCACTTAATGCCACTGTACAATGTAACACCCACACTTCACTATTTATGTTATGAGTCCCATGTAATAGGGGGTGAGCCTATTGCCATATACTGGGCACAATTCCAGACTCCGTGCTACCACTGAGATTTTTGAAAAAATCCTAGTAATACTTTGCCCGACCCGGGAATCGAACCCGAGACCCCTTGCCCGGCATATGATATTTGGAACTGGGGTACATTATGGCCTAAAAAATACAAAGGGTACCTAGTTCTTATCCGGGAACGCGGCCAGAGCCGCTGGCAAAAGCTAGTAGGTATAAAATATGTGCATATCTGCTTATCACTTTACATAACAAAGTATATACAATAAATTGTATTAAAATCAACCACACATTTGTTGTTACTTAAAGGATTGCGTCATTATTTATTTTGCATGTTATTCTTTCATACAATTTTGTATTAATTTATTTTGTAGATAGTTTTTTAATATTATTCTGTAATAAACACACTTTATAATAGTTTTGTCTTATTTTGTGACGTTTATTGTTATTCATTGTAAATAGATTAGAATTATTAATTCATAGTTGTAACTACATTCAGTCAAGTTATTTGCTATACAGGTTAAATAAAGAATGATTGAGTACACAGACAGTAACTATTGGGTGTCTAGAGCCGACCAAGCTTAAAAAAGATTATTTATATTAGACTGCCTCGTTGGCCGAGTGATCGCAAGTGCGACTGCCGGGCAAGGGGCCTCGGGTTCGATTCCCGGGTCGGGCAAAGTATTACTGAGTTTGTAAATAATTCTCATTAGTAGCACGTAGTCGGGAATTATGCCCGGTATATGGCAATAGGCTCACCCCCTATCACATGGGATTCATAACATAAATAGTAAAAAGTGGGTGTTACATTGTACAGTGGTATAATGTGCACCTTTGCTTACCCCTTCGGGGATAAAAGGCGTGATGTTATGATGAATTATTATGTTTTCGGCTTACGCACGTAAGTGTTTGACGAGAAACTCGACTAGTAGTGTCTCAGGAAAGGTTTTATATAAAGATATGGCTTCGTTTCAAAGCATACAATTTAGTTTAAATATAGCTACTATATCAGTACTGAATGTAAATTTTTGACCTACATACATACTAAATAACGTGACTGGCTGTGCATTTTTTAATAATTATATTGGTAGATTTAAAACGATGCATGTGGATATTTCTTTTGATTGGAATATATTTTGGTATAAGTTGTTTAAAATATTGTAAAACCTATTGTTTTGAAGTTTGAGATCAAATTTTTCGAACGAAATATGTATTTTAACAAAATGCAGGACATTCGACGTTGTGGTGATTGTAGCGTATCATGAAGACTTTTAATAGGGCAGTTTCCAGGGTATGAAAATTAAAAATCTAATTAGTCTGTTAGTTACGTAATGAAAAAATATTAGACACGTATTTTTTTTATTTTCTCGTATAAAGTTACAATACTTTGATAGAATGGCGGTAAGTTTGGGAGTGGGGGAGGTAGTTACGTCACAACGTGTTACAAAATGTAGCTCGTTTTGACGTCTCACGATGTTTGAACTTCTATATTGTCGAAAGTATTTAATTTTGTCAGAAAAGAAAAAAAAGAAAAATACGTGTCTAAAGTTTTAAATTAATCTACCAGATGGACATTAAAATAAAATTTAGGAAACCACCATATTTCTTTGATAAGTAAATAGAAATTTTGGGTCTGATAGGATGTAATTCTTTTATACACAATAATGGTTCAGTTTAAAATTTAAATTATCTTGAATATTAATACGTTAAACGTAAAATGATAAGGTGCCTAGTTATTTTAATATTAATAATTGTAATTAATAAGATCGTATACCTGTATTGGTGCTGGATAATAATCTGAAACGAACCGTAAATATAACGTAATAAGGTTTTAATATAGAAGTTATTCTGCAGATGGTGGTGGTCTATGGCAACCAGCTAGCTATGGACACAGAGCGTTCACAACGGGACGCACTCGACCTCATCAGCCACCGCCTAGAGTACGGCATTCACAGACGTTGAAGGTAAATATAATTGATTATTACAGTCTATCTTTTTTTTAAGAATACTTTGCCCCACACTAGGATTTTCTCCTGTGTTGTGGGTGCGTTTACAAACATACACGATCACTTGACAACTCAGACCCGATGTAGATACATAAACCACCTGAATCACCTCGCTGTAACATACTAACATAAAAAAACAACTTCTGTTCTACGAATTTTCAAAAGTCATAAGGTTTGAAGCCAAAAATGTTGAAGGAGAAGAAGGATGAAGTTTCTTGCTCGTTCTTCTCCATTCGAATCTACATTTTGGAATGAGCACCTAGCTTCACCTAGCTTCACTGACGGACTGACTGATAGACTATTATTTATTTTGTTCTTGTTGACGTTTCAAAGGTACCAAATTATGGTTTCATTGAAATAATTGCTTTGACTTTGAGGCAAAGATGAATCTTACATCATATGTCTTCAGTCCCTTCAGTCACACATTTAAACAGAAAATATACATAGAAGACACATGTAGGACAAAAGAAAGCTTTGTAACTTTTTATTTTATTTTTTTGTTTTGCATTTTTCGAGAATTGGGTACTTGCCAGCTAGTCAAATTCAATACTCATTTCGAACTGTCAAATGGACAGTTTTCTATGAATTTTGTACGAGATTGTGTATTGTGACGTCACGTTTTTTTGTCGTCAAACAAATTACTTATTTCTTAAAAGTTTGCCTACAAAATACTAAAATTAAGTTGGTCATAAAATCAATTAATGAAAGTGTGATAATTGTTTAATATTTTATTGTATTGAACAGTCGAAATAATTTATTATAGTACTCAATTATAGCAAAAGTCTTTTACATTGAAACAACTTACTCATTCAAAAAGTAATATGTCGTGTATTTTATTTACTATTTTAATTCCTAGCAACCTGGTAAACTGGATATGAATAACTACACGATGGTCAGCGATGCACTACAACACATCACAATCGGACCTCCTGCTCACTCTAGATCCGATAGAAAGGTATTGACTTATTTTTTAGTAACTTTATAATATTCTGAAACTGTTAATTTATGTTCGAAAGATGTTTTCTAAGGTTTTCAATAAATTTTTAGTTATTAGCATAAAATATAATTGTGACTTAGTGCAAATATTATTTAATTCAAATTCAACAGTCACAATTATATTTTATGTTTGCACAAGTTATATACAAATTTGCCTCCTATTACCATTCTCGACTAGTTTCGAGCGTCACCGACGTCCTTAACGATGATTAATATTTCGTGAAGTGACAGTTATATTTGTTGTTAGACGCAGCGCACTGGTTGGACTCACTCCAGTGGCCAACAAGGCGGGCACCATCATCATCCGTCCGGAGTCAGCTCCGAGACTGAGCTGGATGCGCAGTATGCACAGGTTTGTGTTTAAGATACTTCGTTCTAATTAGAACAGCTAAGGAGTGAAATAGGGATGATGACAGCGTATAAAAATTAAAAATCTTATTAGTCCGTAAGTTATGTAATGGAAAGATATTAGACACATATTTTTTTGTCGTATAATAAAACAATACTTAGATAAAACGAATCAAAGTTTAGAAGCGAGGGCTAAAACGTCATTTCTACGTATAAAATGTACATAGAAGTGACGTCACACGACATTTCAAACCAATATATCGTCGAAAGTATTCGTTTCTGTGAGAAAATAAAAAATACGTGTCTAATGATTTAAAATAATCTACCAGACAGACATTAAAATAAAAATTAAGCATCTAGTTTATTCGTAGCGGCAGAACTATACTTAAGCGCGTCTTAAATTTTAGCGTTGTTTGAGTATTTGGATATATGAGTTATTTACCAATCTTATACTACTATTATATAAAGCGGAAGAGTTTGTTTTTTTGTTTGATCGTGCTAATCGCCGTAACCACAAGTCTGATTTGAATAATTATTTTTGTGTTGGATAGTGCATTTATCGAGGATGGCTATTGGCTATAAAACATCACGCTACGACCAATAAGAGCTGAGTAGAGCGTGTGAAACCGCGCGGAAGTAGCTAGTCTCAACCTAAAATCTGTGGATTAAGATCGATTTTTGACATTACTTGTATAGTGTTGCTGTCATTGCTTAGTTTTTACAATCAATTAACTCTTATAATATTCTTACAGATAAAAGAAACGAATGAGTACATGGAGGCGCCATCTATGATGCGGTTACGGAGACATCGGAGACACGATAAGACGCCGTTACACCAGCCATGTAAGTTACAATAAAATATTTTTTTATAATAAACGAGCAGACGGATCACCTTGTGGTAAGCAATCGGTGTCGCCCATGGACTTCTGAAACACCAGAGGCGTTACAAATGCGTTACCGGCCGTTTGGGAATTACGAATTTGAGAATTCAGGGATAATACAATTTTTAATTACTGCCTCGTTGGCCGAGTGGTCATAAGTGCGACTGCTAAGGGCAAGGGGTCTCGGGTTCGATTCCCGGGTCGGGCAAGGTATTACTGGGTTTTTTAATATTCTCAGTAGTAGCACGGAGTCTGGAATTGTTCCCGGTATATGGCAATAGGCTCACCCCCTATTACATGGGACTCATTACATAAATAGCGAAAAGTGGGTGTTACATTATACAGTGGTATAATGTGCACCTCTGCCTACCCCTTCGGGGATAAAAGGCGTGATGTTATGTTTTGTTTAATTACTGCCAGTCATTATGGTAAATAAGTTTAGACTTGACTTTTAATGAGTGATCATAATTCGGCAATCACTATAAAATATTCGCCATTTTTAAGAACTATGCACGGGTGGCGTTACCTACCCCACCATAAAACTTTGGCTGTATCTGAATAGCTCTTTTTAAAGTATCTGATACGGTTTCATGTTATGCCTTATGGAATTTACTTGAATCTTATATTATTCCTTTGTGCAGACATTTCTATCATTTATTATGTGTTTCCACAGCATTTTCCGAGACGGACAGTTCAGGTTCGAGCTCCGGGTCGGGCGGCGGCAGTGCGGGCGCCAGTCGTGCGCACGTACGACGCCGACATAACGCGCACCATGCGCCTAGACACTATAAGAAACGGTACGGCTTTGGCCATTATTTGTTTTTATAGTTCTTGTCGACATATTGTCGTCTAAGTGAACCTATCGAAATTCTTAAATGACTTTATTTATTTTCGTAACTAGCTTCTGTTAGGTAAAACATAGCCTATGTGTTATTCTAACCCAACCCAACATGATTGAGTTTTGTAACTCAATCACATACACACAAATTCACCTACTTTCGCATTTAGAGGTATAATATTTGTAGTAACACTGTCATCAGTTAAAACAATTTTTCTAGAAAAGCATTATATTATTACAAAATTACTAAAATTATTGACTGCCTCATTTGCCGAGTAGTCG